CTCAAGTTGATGTCAACACATCTTCCTCCAATAGTAAGAGGATTGCTTAGACCCGGGGGGACAAAGGAAGGGCGAGAAGGGACAATCAACCTAAAGGACCCTATCCTCGTGGTTTAGGGGGAAAGATCTTTATCTCTCTCTCCCTCTTGTTCTCTTCGATTTGATCGGCTAGAAGAAATGAGAGGGGAGTGAGAGGATACAAGAAACTCACCTTGGTCATCTTCAGACATGTTGTACAAGATGATATGTACTAGAGTAGCTAAGTATTGAGAGCAGCAGGGGGAGCAGAGGGAAGGGGGGGAAGAAGATGGTTGGGGAGGATGAGATTTCCGTCGGAAACAATCTCATCACGTGACCTCCCCCTCTCTCTCCCTCTCTTGTTGGGGATGAGAGTTGCATCTAAAGCTATGAAGAGGCGTCTACAAGAGTTTCGGGGTTCTTACGTGACGTGTAATTTAGGTACTGATTATCACTATCTAACACTCCCCTTAATCCGTACTAAGTTGCTTTCATAGGATCGAAGAAAGATTACCGAAGACTATGGGTTCTGGCGACTCGTCTCTCATGACATTGACTTGGTGTTTGGATCGGTATTCTTTGATGGCTTCCTGTAATTGACTCTTGGATAGATCTCCGCGTTTCTTAATGCGACAGTCTTCCACACTATGTCCGTATTTACCACACCAATCACACTCTTCGTCTTCTTCACTATCACTCTCATCCTTCCCACGTTTTCCTTCTTTCCTCGTCTTTCCTTGTCCCTTCTCCTTCTCCTTGTTACCTCCATGTTCACTACCAGCACCATTACTTCTACCCTTTCCTACCCTACTACCTGATCTCCCCTTATCCTTCTTAATAGCATCTTTATTGACGAGAACAGCACTGATGGCTTGTTGAGTATGGTTCTCCATTTCTTGCTCAAGGCGGCGGGTGTCGGCAATACTGTGGTACGCGGTTACAAGATGGTCCCAGCTTTTCTGTGTGTCTGGTCGGAGGTCCCACTGTTGACGAAGTGGAGCGAAGTCGCGACCAAGGGAGAGAAGAAATCTTTCGGAACGATCACCATCATCTATATGGGCACCTGCACCAAGAGCCTCGGCTACTAGCTCACTAAAGGTCTCGAGGTGAGCGTGCATGGTGTCGAAGTTGGCATTTTCAACTAGACGAAGGAGGGAAATACGTTGGTTGAGATCATTACGCCTTGCTGTCGTTTTAACTTGATGCTGCGCAGTAATACGTGCCCAGATTTCTTGGGCTGACCAGAGGTCCTCGACTTGGGCGGCTAGTCCCGGAGAGATTGTGAAAATGAGTGTCGAACGAGCTTTACGCTCTTTGTTGGCCCAATCTAGCCAGGTGGTACGTTGAGTAGCTGTCAAAGCTACGGCTGTTGTTGAATTTGTGGCATCTGGGGGAGCCTCCCCTGCAATGGTATCGGGGGGAAAGACAACGGAATGATCTGTCGGCACTGCCGGATTTACGAGTCGTCTGAAAGGCTCGGGCTCAAGGCCGCTGAGATGACCTTGAGCACCTTTGTCAAAGAGGTAGTTACGTACACCTCGGCGCCAACGAACAAAGGTTTCTGTCCCTGTTAAAGTCGGGATCAACTTGGAAAGTGCAGAGAGGTCGTCATTATTTGACATCGTGCAATGTCGCTGCAGAGGTGATTATTTGAACGTGCTTGTGCGAGAGGGGTTTTGTCGCTGCAGAGGTGATTATTTAAACGTGCTTGTGCGAGATATGTCTTGCCGCAGAGGTGTTCAAACTTGCTTTGGCGGATGGAGGCGCTGCAGAGGTGTTTAAACGTGCTTGTGCGCGGAGGAATGTGGTATGGAGAGTCGAGCGGATGTCCCGGAACCTACGCAGCAGGTAGGCTTTGCAGTGTCAAGAGTGTTACCGAATTTACTCTGTCGAAGACAGGACGTGGAGCAATGAGTGATGTACGGTAAAGGAATGTGATGACGTGGCAAGAGGCTTGTGCGTTGATGGATACTTGAAATTGTAGAGACTCGAGGGTGTTGAGACTCGCAGCCGGAAAGTGTCCAAGAAATGGCCCTAGCGAGGGTTGACTAGGAATGGGATGCGTGATGACTCTGTAGTTTATGTGAGTTGGAACAGTGATGTGAGACGGAAATGAATATGACAGAAATGATGATGGATCCGAGGAGGATTTTATCGAAGGGTGATGTCGTCGAGGCTTCCAAGCAACGATTGGGACAAATGTACGTTGAGGCTTCCAAGCGTCAACTTATGTACTCACGTTGTCGATAATCCGCGGGTCTGCTATCCAGCACTTCCGTGATCCGTGATCTAATGTCCAAACGTCTAAATCCAATATCCAGCGTTTCCGACGTTTCCAGCGTTCCGACCGATATCTAACGTTTCTAAATCCAGTGTTTCCGATGTGTCGATAATCGTGGCCAAGGGGGAACCCTAGAGGGGCCGAAACAGGTGTATGTCAAGCGTGGATTGATGAACTCTCAGTATATCTGGTGAGAGGAGAATGCTACTCCGACTGTTAATCTGTTGGGGATGAGAGTTGCATCTAAAGCTATGAAGAGGCGTCTACAAGAGTTTCGGGGTTCTTACGTGACGTGTAATTTAGGTACTGATTATCACTATCTAACATCTCTCACCTCTCTCTCCCTCTACAAATTCCTTCAAGGGTTACTTATGCACCCAAGTAAAATCATCCTCAATCTTCTCTTCTTCCTTCTACGACCCTCATACTCCTCCAGAATCTCCTTCTTCCCAAAATATTCCTAGTACTTCATCGGTTAGGCTAATAGGACAAACCCTCATCACTCATCGTTCACTCTAGCCAGAAAGATGATTCAAATCGATGCATCCCTCTTACAACCTCTCTTTCTCTTCCCACCCACTTCACCCATGATCCAATCTTTTCTCTCTTCTATCAACGCCCAAATCCCTAAAATCGATAGATATCCAGAAGGGATGTATCATACTTATCCCACTATCTGTTTCTCATTATATTATAAATCTTCTCAATTCCCAATTTCCTCTTCAAATTTACCAAGAACATCGATCAACATTCTAAATTCTCAACATAAACCTCCTTCGGATCAACAGTGTCTTTTAGATAGGATCGACATTACTTCTCCTATTCCTCATCCTCGAAAGAAACTAGGTTCTCCACCGGAGATCATATTAAGATTCCCTGATACCACTTTACCTCTACTCCCTTCCCCAGATCCGAACAACCCACAAACGGGATATCACACCAGGTCGTCATCATCTCAGATTATAAACGTCCATAAAATCACTAGTGATAACGTTGACGGGACGACCTCATCATCTCGATTCACAGAGAAGAGGAATAAGACGAGTAAGGTCCCCCTTGCGACGACCCGACCTTCTCAACTCGTAATTGATAAAACCACAACTGGCAGAAACTTCGTTTCATCTCTCGGCGAACCTACTAAAAAGGGAGGAGGGACAACATGGTTACCCATTTACCTCGAATGGGATCGAGTGCGACTTCTCAATCCCTCAGGTGAGACGGTAGAGGTGGGTATCATGGTTGAATTGAATGATCCTAGAGGGAAAGACGAACGAAGTGGTGATATATGGGATAGAGCAGGAGATTGGGTCTGGGAAAGTTTCAAAGTGTTTAATGCACATGCATGATTCATGACCTATCACGATGAGAGAAAAAGGGGTGATAAATGATTTAAGCGGAGATACCTTCGATGGCGAGTTTTAATTCGTCAATGTTGAGAATCTCGAAACCTTTCGCTTTTGTCACCTAAGAATTAGCACGGGATTCGGCAATAGAAGGGTAAGGAGAGTAGACGTAGCGCGACAGAAGAGTAATGGTGGTATAGATGAAGGATGGTATAGGGTTCGGAACAAGGACAAATCGACGGGACATACCCTAGCCAGTTGTACATTGTTCTCATCCAGTTTCTCCTCCATGACCTGTTTCAACACCTTCAGAGCCAATGTGTATGCCTCTTGCAGAGTCATTTGCTTATCATTAGCTCGGATCAAATCGATAGGCTTGCTACAGGGACGATACCATGGAGAAGACGGGCGCTACTGATGTTGTTGCAGACAGAGTCAGTGATCCTGAGCGCAGCAGAGAGGCTCAAGTCGTACAGCAGATACAACTGAGTGAAGCCGCGATAGTGGGCTAGAGGGAGGGACCGGGGCCGGAGTAGTCATATACGATGAAATCAACCCTAACCTACCTTGTGGAAAGCATCCTGCAGACTTTGTTGAGCAGCATCCGACCCCGATCCAATGGCTTTAGCGTCATATCGCGTGAACGTCCCCGAAGGATCTGTATGGTATCTTTATTGTCAGCAGCTCAAAGTTGAATTTTCGTGAAGCAGCTGATACATACAATTGTGGACCTTTCTCATCGACGCCGGCTATAAGTAAGGCTACACCGAATGGTCGTGACTGTTATCAGTCATCATGACTATTCGACGACACCTCATGACACAAAGTCCAGCGTCAAACCTCTACTACTGTCCTGTTTCCAACCAGTGGGTGAAGTCGCCATATATCAGAGGATCAAGCGCCCTGTTCATTTACACAAGCAGGATATCGACCGCAAGGACCACGGAGGAGAGGTGAATGAGGAAGAGGTATTGTGAAAGGATAAAAGACCCACCATCAAAGCATCATCATCCTCCACACTCTCTCCAAATCTCAAAGCTAAATCACATACCGCCTGAGTACAACTCTCAACTTTGATATTCTCGTCATATGTAAAAGCATGATTCTGACTAGTGACACGAGCATGATCCACCATAGTCCTTGCATCTGCCGTAAGACCTGACATTGCGCATCCTATATGTCGGTCAATCTCCATGATTTTCTCAATGGAAGATGTTTCTAGTAAAGGTGAAGCCACTCGTTTTTCAACACCGAGAACTGTACCTTCTGGTGTTGCTATTCCGACGGTAGTGGAGCCGAGCTGTGTGTCAGCGCCTATCTAGCAGCAAAGGAGTGACGAGGAGCCGAAGAATTGATAATTATCTGTCATTGTTCGAAAGGTTGATCGAGTTGATGTATATTGATATCACTTGGGAAACTCATGGAAGATTCTAACAATTGTCTCAGTTCACTGTGTGGTGATTGTCAAATCGAAGGATGAAGGGGGACAACGGGTTTTGAGAGTCGGCAGAGACAGGGGTTGGGGGAGAGAACGTATTGATACTGACTTTGATAGCCTCCATTGCGTATTCAACCTGGAACAACCTCCCCTAATTCGTCAGCTCAGCGATTATGCTCTTGTAGATGAGCTCACCTCGGGGGAGAAGGTATTGACACCTCTATCATACTCTGATCTACTCGTTAGCCTCTGACATCCCTACTTCTCCTCGTCCGTTTATTCCAGTTCGTTCTAACATTCCTTGTCCGTGTCTCAAGTCCCTCTTGTGTGCTGTTCCATCCAACAGACATACGCTTTACATGCTGGTAAAAAGACACAGAAGCTCACCTCGTCAGAAACATGTTGCTTCTTTAGTCTGGTCAGGAAGTGAATGGGCACTGAAGAAAGAGATAGCGCTTGGGGGAGGAAGTAAAGCTGAAGACGAAGAAGGGGGGGGAGGACGACTTTGGTCGCGTATGACGAAGCGTTCATTTGGTTTACGTAATATCACGTGGATATCTCTAGGCCTGGAATGCATCCTGCTCATACGCACCCGTATGCATGAAATCACTAACCAGCATGCATGAGGATGGTGGTTGAGAGGACACATGTCATGCTTGGGAGGATGAAATATCGAGACTGATTAGAACCAACACCAACCGTGAATGTATGGTGTAGTAGGGCATATGCATGCATGGTGTCTACCATGTCATCATCATCCCTCTCACCATTGCGCATTTCAACGTTTGACATGTAGCATGTGGGATGTAATCGGGGGACATGATTAGATCGATATCAAGATTGCTCGCGGGAGGTCACACATGTCCATCATGGTGTGCACATACCGACTGACATGCATGGTGGTACCGTATGCATCGGACGTATGTATATCGGGATATGCATATACCATGATTGATTTCCTTTCCTTCCCCCACTCCGTCCATGATCTTGCAATGTACCATGAGGCGTACCCGGATACCATGATGGATCTATGTATGACCGTCACCGGCATCTCTTCCCAATCAACTTGAAATCTCACCTATTTTCCTACTAAAGACCATTTTTCAACCCATCTAGCCTTGTGGCACTTCCTCAGTCCCTTCTCAGCTCCTTCAGTCCTACCCCTGCCTCATACTACCACGTACCGACCTAGCTGTCCTAGTGATCAGATTTGTCTCGAGTGAGCACGTATGACACTGCCCTGACCCCCTCTGGTCTTTCCCTTTACCAGTTTTCACGCCTTTTTGCCGAACGTCGACCGTCGGTTCTTTTCGGTTCTTTTTCATCATCCTGGGGTCTGATGCCTTGAGAGGTGAGAACGTCTCATGGTGGGTGAGAAAAAGGGATATAAACCGGGTATCCCCAGCTATTTTCTTCTTTTCTCATCTCTTCTTTTCTCGCCACTCCAATTCGACTTTCAAATCGTTCTAAATAGTTGATCACCTTTCGAGAACAGTAAGTAAAGTCGAATAGATATCATAAAGGTGAGTAAAATCAGTCTCTTAAATTCGATATTCCTATATCCGCCACTTTCCACTTTTTCTCTTTTGTTTCATTTTTCTCTTTACCCTCTTCTCTTCCCTTCGTCTCTTGTACTACTCCCCCTCTCCTCTTCTCTCTTGTCACTCTATCTCCTTCTTTCAACAACCGATACATATCGGAATGCTCAAGACGCTAATTAATAGCGCTCAATCGCTCGACGGTTGAGAGGGCCGAATCCCGCACAGGCGTCGGGCGAAGAGCGCTCTCACAGCCGACCGAGTAAGTCTTTTCTCTTGTCTCTGACACCGACACCCCTGGAAGAACATTCCTTCTTCTTCTTCTCTTCTTCACCACCTCTCACATACGTACTCCTCATACACCACCAATACTCCTTCACAGTCCATTTACATTCGGTCTCTTACCTTTCTCCTTTTCTCACAGAAACACATATCCGGAACATATCGGGGACATATCGCTCATATCGTAGTACATATCCCAACCTACTTCCTCATATCCCAAACAAGTATCGTCTGCTCCAGCCCAACCTATACATACCCACTACTCTCAACTTTTTATCTCATCTCTCTCCTAAGCTCTCCCCACCCTCATAAGCCCTCTTCTTAATCAAATCCAAACTCCCGTATTCTTCCTACTCGCTCATACCGTCCGGCCCCACGACTGGTAACTCATACGAAACCATGGATCAAGACGATGATATCATTCCTCTTGACCATACTCCTCTCCATCTTCGTGGCAGACCCACCAACGCCAGGGTAGATCGTACGCCTATCATCATCTCGAGCTCTCCACCTTCGTCGCCACTCGTCACTGAATCTTCGAAGAAGAGACGAGCTTCGGATCTCTCCGATGAAGAAGACCGTCCTGGTCCCTCCAAACGTCGTGGTATACTCAAAGCACCAACTAAGGAATTCCGCTACGCCGATGCTATCAAGTTGGATTTAGAACCTGAACAGGAAGATCATCATGACGATCAACCTCAATCTACCCGGGAGGTAGATGCTATGGCTCTTCTTCCCGGTGTTCTTGAAGTTCTTCCTGATATCTGCCCAGAATACGCTGTGAAACGATTGGTGAAACATCTAGAAGCTGGTCAACTTGGGGAAAGCATAGCCAACGTGATCGCTTCAGCTTTGGAAGTAGAAGGCGGATATCCTAAACCTCAAAAATCGGAAAACAAAACTAATACCAACGAGAAGAAAGATAAAGATATTGGAACTATTGAAGATTACAAAAAAATAAATTATCGAAATGAAGGAAGAGCTGGGTTCGTATATAAAACTAGGAGTCATATGTGGTTACAGAATGCATTCCGAGGGATCCCTGTACCATAGTAAGTTTTCTTGTGGTACATGCGAATAACAGTCGCTGATTCAAAAGTATCAAACAAAAGCTTCGTGACGTACCTTTTCTCACGCCTCTCTACTATACTCTTCATAAAGAGTTGGCAGAGGTGAAGGACGGCACGGCTAAACATTTTGAATTACTTCGTCGACCTCGCGGAAAGACCGGGATCCAGACCATGATTTCGGATAAAGGCAAAAGGAAGGCTAGGGAGATGTCTCCCACAGAGGACGAATCCATGCACGATACGGACTCTCTCGAATCTGCAGAGGTGAAGCAAAAGGAACTTCCACAGGGAGACGATTGGGAATTTGAGACCGAGTTGAGGGTGTTGACTCAAGCTATCAGTAAGTGTCGGGTATCTTTGTCTGCGATTACCCTCTCATGGCAGTGGCGTATTAGACGTCACTATCCTCAATTTTCATGCGTCAACGCCGTGCATGCTATTTACTATGATTCGTTCTCTGCTCTCTGACGCTTTTCCCTTCTCTCATGCTGCCTCTTCCGTGACACATACAGAGGCAAAGAATATGCACTACATGGATTGAGCTGATAACAGAACACGAAGAAGAGTCCGAGAAAGAGGCCGCTCGGAAAGAACGCGAGAAACAAGCTGTCATCGCTGCTGGTGGCGGAATCGAATGCGGATGTTGTTTTGCGGATGAAATCTGGGTAAGCGCTATTCCATTCCTTGCCAGCGTCCCCTCCTTACCTCTTGACACTATGTCATACATCTTTCGCCATCACTCGACGACTCCACATATCTTACTGTAAGAGCCTTTGTGGAAAAATCTCCCTCTGGAGATTGAAAAATCACTGACAGACCAGGAGAACATGTACCAATGTGCCGACGGTCATCTGTTCTGTGGTGAATGTGCTCGGCGAAATGCGGAGACTCGACTGGGAGACCAACACCATGTGAGTACCTCGTCACTGTCGCATACATTAGAATCCTCATGCCGTGCTCAACCCTCACATGTCATCCAAGCGAGACTTTCAGATCAATTCATGTGTTCCGTTCCTACGGTCAAGAGGGCGCTCAGTTTCGGACTGGGTAAGTCACTTGCTGATGTCAGACTATCCCCTGTATGGACATGTCCGGCTGTACTGCACTGTTTTCCGAAACCGAGCTCTCCCGTCTCTTACCTGCCAAGTCGCTTGAACTTTACCATCGTCTCAACCAAGCTAAGCAGCTCGAGGATGCTGCTATTGAGGGATTGGAAACTTGTCCCAACTGCCCTTTCGCCGTTGTGATCGAGAACCCGGACGAGAAGCTGTTCAGGTGTCTGAACTCGGAATGCGGTCAAGTTAGCTGTCGCAAGTGTCGTCGACCTGTGAGTCCTCGTTATCTTGCTTTCCATCACATCGTTCCCCCTGCACTCGTCTCTCACCTCATGACCTGAGTGGTCTCCATCACATGCTTTTAACTTCTGACTTCATCATACAAGCTGTTTTATTCGAATGCTGTAATCCATCAGTGGGTGACACGATCCTGTGATGCCTCAACTGGGTAATGAGTGGTCAGATGGGACAACTTGCTGACGACCAGGACCACATCCCCAAAACGTGTGAAGAGATGGATAAAGACCGCAAGTTGAACAAACTTCACGCTGTGGAAGATGCCATGTCCGAAGCTCTTATCAGGAAATGTCCTAATGAAAAGTGCGGCAAGCCATTTCTCAAAGATGGTGGTTGCAACAAGATTGTCGTGAGTACAGACTTTTCATCCTTTTTGGATTAGTTCATCTGAAGGCCGCCGCCATGACTGACCTGCAGTGCCAAAAATGCCGCACGACCTCCTGTTACATGTGTCGGGTCATCATTACCGACGGCTACAAACATTTCGATACCGGTGAGTACCTGCTCGGACGTAGTCATGAATCGGAGCTGATTGATAGATCCATGGGAACCTGGTGTTCCTAGAAAGTCGACGAAGTGCATCTTGTGGGATAAAGATGAAGCCGCAAAAGACAACGAAGCTGTAAGTTTGTTGATTGACCTCTCCCCTGTCCTGTATACATGTATGCTGCCTAGACTCGTCCTATTCCATATGGCTCCTGTCGCGCTTGTGTTCCGCTTTCCGCCCACTGGTTCATTCTGCTTCTCCCCATTTTTTGTGATGTCCAAGTCCACCCGTTCTGATGCCTCAATTTTGCCCTCTTAAGAATTCCAACCAATACACTATATCGTGTCTTGGTGTGGAAAGTGCACAACATAGTTCGTCTTTCTACTCGTAAGCTGACATAGAGATCGTTGCCGCACGTGACGCCGCCCAGGTCGAAGTCATCGCTGCAGCTCAAGCAGAAGGAATCAATCTCGAGAACCAAGATGTTCATATCGACGTTCCAGAAGTTCCTCGTCGCCCAGACCTCATCCGCGCTCCTGCAGCTCCTCCCAGGGATTGGGCTGCTCGGATAGGCGAACGCATGGCTCAGTTGGGACAACAATTGATAGGGGCACGAGCGGCGGAGCAAGCTCAATACGCGGCAATGATGGCGCAGCTCAACGAGATTAGTAAGTCCCCGCCTTGTCACCAGTGGCAACTCTCCCCCCAATCTGACGGTTGGAATTATTGATTCCAACTCTCTTCTTTCTTGCCGAACACAAAGCCTTGTGCCATCTTCCTCTAGCTCACAATCTTATAGTAATCAGTGCTGATGGATCAGACCGTTTTGTACCCGCGCCCGGTGCTCCACCCGTAGCCCCCGCTGCGCCTGCTCCTCAAAATCGAGCAGCTCTCCTAGCTGCCGTCCAAATGCAACAACGCGCCATCGCCGATGTTATCGCTAGGGCTCGTAATCGTAACGGTAATGGTGCTCGACAGCCTGCCGCCGCTCCAGCTCCCGCTGCCGCTGCCGCTGCCGCTCCTGCAGCTCCTGTAGCTCCCGCACGTCCTGTGCCTCGAGCCGATATTCTTCAGCAAGCTATCGCGCTCCACCGTCGTCGTCAACCTGCCCCTCCAAATCAAGGCGATCTTTTCCGACAAGCCGCTCAGCTCGCTCAAGCGGGTGATCTCCCTGTCCTACAAGGCAACCCTGTACCTGCTCGCAACCGAATTCCTCAACCTCGTGGAGGTGCCGCGGCTCCTTTGCCTCATCTACAACCACAGCCACCTCTGCCTCCTCGACTGGCGCAATTAAATCTCGATGTACAGAACCTCGCAATGCTTCAACATCAACTAGCAGCACAGGCTCATTTGGCGCAGGCGGTCCAGCGTCGATTCGATAATGGTGCTCAAAACTTGTTCCCGCGTCAAGACCCAGTCGCAATGGGTAATGGACAATTTCACATGATGTTGAATCAACCTAATGTCGGTGCTGCCGGTGTGGCTCAGGGTTTGGCGGCGATGGGGAACAGGGCGATTGATCGGGCAGTGGTACCCCCACCTAGAAACTTGCGTAGAAGAGGAAGGAGGGCCCCAGTGGACTGATTGGTGTGAAGGGGGAAAGATTGCCCTTAAGCGATTTGTTCAATCAATAAACAGCGACTTTTTGCGCTTTGTGTGGTCTGGGTGAATGGCCAGGGGATGTGACAATGGCTAGACGCTGGAATTTGGAGGTTCGATAAGATTGTGTTCGATCAATCCTGCTTGGAAAAGTGATCCGCAAGTCGAAGATTTAAACGATAAAAATTAAACCAAAAAAAAAAAAACACTTTCCGAACGACATCATAAAATTACAATCGACACGAACGAGACGAGCCCCCTTTAATCAAATCATCAAACACCCTCTGTTCCCCTCATCACAACCACCCTCCCTTCCACTCCAGCTGTAAACACCCTCATCCCCCTCTTTGGCCACGCGTTGAATGGACTCCGCTGTTGTTCCAACTCCTGTCTAAATTTCGACTCGACGTGTGACTTTTCCTCCGTCGTATTCGCGTGACCATTCCACTCTGTTCATATTGTCAATCCTCCGTCCGTCCTCGTCCACCTTGTAGTGAATCGCTATCCTTCGCCGAACTCGTGTATAGATCCCAACTCTGTCAACTCTGTCTAATCGCCGTTTGCCTCTTTCGAATCTGGGTGTTTTGGGTATTTGGAGATATGGTCGAAAATCGCAAAAATACAAAAATAAGGGTTGATGTGGGTTTTCGATGGAGTGCATGCATGTACTTTTCGTTGTCTTTTCTTCAATTCTTGTATTCCATCTCTTTCCTCAATTAAATTGACTCTCTCTCCCTATCTTCAATCAATCTTCCCATCTATCTTGTCATCCTTAATTCCTTCTCTCGCTTCTCCTGTCTTACGCATCTCTACTTACGATACAATCTCTCAACTCAGTGAATGAAATCTATCGAGTCATCTCCCATCGCTCATCACCTCCACCTTACAACTCATCCTGTTCCCTTCATCATCTTCCTGCCGATCAATCTCGCTTCCACATTCTTCCGTCTTCCTCTCTTGGCTTGATTGCGTCATTCACCTCCACCCGCCCACCTCTCCAATCGATGTCACCCCGAAACGGCGGAGATCAACCTGAAACATGTGCTTTTTATCATCCTTTGAACCAGAAAACTCCGACAATTATCACATGTCTCTCTCCGCACGTACTAAAGTCATCACTCGTCATATTCTTTTCCCTCATCGCCCCTCCTAATTCCCCCCGCTTTGTGTATCTCACTGATTCGACCTAACCCCCCTCGTGCGGACTAATTCATTAAACAGACTGCTAGTCAATCATCCCCGCCTCAGCAATTACTTATAATACAAACTTGTCATCTCTCGCCTTGTACGAATCACCCATTGATCATTGACCGATTCGTATTGATTTCCCGCCGAGTACGTCTTACCTACTCATATCAAGTCGGACTAAAGACTTTCATCCTCCGAATTAATCTCAAAAGCTCAGCAATCGCCCCGTGAAAAAATGTGAGTATTTCTCATTATTTCGCTTATCAATCTCTTCATTTCCCACCTCCCCTCACTTCATCCAACTCAGTGATTTGTTTCCTTAAAAAATCAAAAAGATAAAAAAAAACAATCACTAAGATAATGCCACTACTTTCCCCTTCGACAGAAAGTAAATTTTCTGATTCAGATTCTAATTCTAATTCTAATCATCGTGTTAAAAGATCAACCATCCATATTCCTATCTCACCACATTTGATAGATTTTTTACATCAACATTCTCATTTCTTCAATTCACATTCACACTCTCATTCTAAAACAGATAACTCACCGTTATCTCCAACCAAAACTATCAGTTCACCAACTTCACCAACTTCACCAACTTCACCAACTTCACCAACTTCACCAACTTCACCCATCTCTCAAGCTGCTTCTCATTTCTTACAATTGACACGTCGTGTTAGTTTGAAACGTTCCAAACCTTTATCTCCATCTGATTTCGTCCATGCGAAGGAAACGACAACTATCTCATCTCCGATCCCCATGGTTGATCCGAAGTCCCCATATTTATTTCATCCACCCCAAAGATCTCAAGATACTAGATATCCCTCTGATTTCCCTCATACCCAAAATGCAGAGGATACTTCGTTTGAGAATGACAATTCGGAGAGGGATCTGACAGAAGTAGAACCTGATAGATATACTCAACTATCAATAGATACGAATATGTCAGGTCAAGATGGGTCAAATCCACTTTCTTATCGGGAACGACAACGCGCTCTACTCGCTATACAGATGAGTAACTCTGCTAGTACGACTGGACAAGCGGGAAGAGCGATACCTCCCGGCCCCCCAGAAGGTCATACTCTCACTGCCAACTCCAGAAGATGGGGATACGTCACAAACCAAAATACACAAGTGGGAGATTATTCCGAGACGGAAAGTGAAGAAGGAAGAATGGCAGTTCCTCTTATGTTGGATAACCCAGCTGCAAGTCGAGAAACTGTTCCTTTGGTTTTTGACGATGGGACTTTGAATACTACTCCTAATAGTCCAAGATATGGTATGGTGCGTCCTGATCCTGAGACTTCAACTAGAGGTGAGTAATTTCATTCTTCTGTATTCAGTCAATCATACCTTAAACGTATATCCAGCAAACCTAATCTTTATGTTGTCACCTCGGTGCTTATGATTAGTGAAAATAGTATGTAAGAAAGAAAATGGATTTTGATGACTGATCAATAGCTTCCATTCAAGCTTATGAAACTTATCAACCTGAACTTGAACGAATCCGAAATGCAACTCAAACTCAAACACCTTCCTTGCTCACTTCTTCTTCTGCTGCCATCCAGCAGGTTTCTTCCCGAACAGCTAGGACTCCCTCCAGGACTCATCGTATTGTTCCAGCACCTCTTTACCTTCCTTCTACATCCCAAACGGTTGAATCATCTTTACCCTTCCGGGATGAAGATGGAGATTCACCAACTTTAGGTCCTTACCTACCTACCAGTCTCAGGTCCCGAGGAGATCCACCTGAGGGGTTTACCAATACCCTCAATTCTACCACCTTGCCGACAGCTTCAATGCCTGAACCTGGTTGGTCACGTCAAGAGGAGGATCAAGATAGTCCAACTCTTGGACACATACAAACTCCATTTAGTAGGCAGCAATATACCTCTAACTTCTCACAACAGATGGGAAACATATCTCCTAGTACTCCCTCAACTGTAGTTCTCAGGAGCCCATACACTGGTACATACCCAAGTAATGTTAGGGAGTCAGTTCAAACTTTGTTTGAGGGTGAACCTTTGGTGGGAGAGGATTCAAGACGCGCTTCGAACGTTACTATCATTGAAGATGGAGATGAAGATGAAGAACATGTTGTTCAACCTACCTTTTCACCCACTCTTGGTCAGCCTCATTCTGGAATTCGGTTTGGTATTCCAGGAGGACTTACAACCGGGGACGGTTCAAGAAGATACGTAAGTGGTCATGAGGTAGATGGATCAAGTGAAGGAGAATGTAGTTTGGAAGAAGAAAGTAGTGAATCCTCAGGTCAATGTAGTGAGGAAGAAACACAAGCTATCTCTTCTACTTTAAGATCCTTGACGCATAGATCAGACGAAAATAGGGGGGTCAGACAACGAATGATTGGCAGGATTCAACGGGCAACACAGTCCAGAGCTCCTGATTCAACCTCTTGAGGTGATAACGTGGCAGAAAGAGGTTCATCTTCTAGAAAATAATTACGAGTAAAATGATGCATGTTTTGAGATCTCTTACAGTAACACCATCCTATGAATCCTCTTACTCGATGCTACCCCCTGATTGCCAAGATGACAAACAATAAATGGACCGAAGCAATCATCAAATCTCGTGATCAGTCGACAACTATGACCCGCCGTCCGTGTCACATCTTCAAGAGCCGATTATAATTCGAAACTCAGCTTTGAGCGAGATGACGATTTTTTCCGTGCGCCCAGTCACATACATGTGTAATCCTCGTTCTCACATGTGTCATCTCCTCATCCTTTCATTCTGAAATCAGCTGACATGTAATTCATCGACTCCGCTCCGCTAATCATCTAGAAACATCTCTTCTTACTAATTGACTACTTCTTCTCTACCGCCCACTTCTCCTCTTCATCTTTCCACCATCAAATCAGTGTGTGTAGAAAGAAAAAAACATGGAACCTTCTTCAACTTCAGGTCAGTCTAAACCTCCTTCCCCTCAATTTCGTAAATTCCCAAGATTGGATTGACTCTTCCACATGAATGAAGCTGCTAACAATCAGTCATCAGTACGGCTCCCACTCCTCCTCCCGCCATGTGGCCCCTGACCCGTCAAGCAACCCAGACCCTCAATACTGGTCTCAACACCGAACTCAACGGCAATGTCAACCCCGAAGTCAACACCGAAGTCAACACAGAAGTCGTCACCGAAGTCAACACCCAAGAACCTACCACCCAAAAAGCCAAACATCGTTCATGGCTTCAAACCCTTCAACGTGGAAGTACAATATGTTGCTGTTTCCCCTCTTCAACACATCAAGATGAAACTAGAACATCCAGCTTGGTAAATGTCGTACCAGCGGGGATTTTGCAACCTCATCAGGGTGAAGAAAGCTATGAGATGAGTGTAAATGTTACCACTGATGATACTAGACCCTTATCGGATCATAGTATTGCTCTACCCGTTCAAGGTGTACACGTGAGCGATCAGCCACCCCAAATACCAGTTCAGACATTTGGAGAAGCATTATCTTCTTATGAGGAGGAAGGGGGCAGACCGTTCAGTCTTCAGTTACCTATTCAAGGTGCACAACAACGTTTTCCAAGGGATAGTATTGACAATACCATTGAATATGCGTGGGATGTAAGTTTCATTCTTCCCGGCTTACAATCTTCTTCCTTCTTCCTCTCCTGCTCAGATTTTTCATGCAGTCTTACGTTCTGAACTTTGTCATTGTCACTCTCACAGTTTGATGATGTTCTCAACTTCTCAAGATCACTGGTGAGACAAAACACTGCCCACAAATTAGGTATGACCAAAAGTCCTTCAGACTAACAAGCAGACAATGGAGTCCCAGAACCAACCAGAATCCACCACTGACTTGGGACTAGACCCAGAAACTGCGGCAATTCTAAGCAAATCATTCCATCCACCTACTTCACCCCCTCCACCACGTCCACCTCGTTCCCCTGAACTTACACAAACATCTTCCTCAGCCAAAGAAGATCCTCCAGTATTGACTTACTCCCCTCGTACTCCTCAAAGGTCCGCTACCAACCTCACTCTTTTGACCGTCCCTCCCATCCCTGAAGAAATCACAGAACCTGGAACTAACGAGCCTGTATCCTCTCCAAGCTCTGAACTTCCCTACACCAAGTCAATGGCTGAACTGCATAGCGCAAAACATCCAAAAAGGAGACCATCAAGTACTCCATATGAGACCAAAACGCTTGAAGATGATGCAATGGATGATGCTATAATGTTTGTATATCCGGAAGATCCCGTAAGTTCCCCTTCCCGGAACACCAAAGATGACAGTTGACAGGTAGGACACACCTGAGGGGTCTGAGCATGGTGGGGGTTTGGAAATGAGAAGGATAAGTTCTACTGGAAGATTCAGACCTCCACCAATCTTCACACAAAAAGATTCGGGTGACAGCAGTATATCTCTCCCACACATCGGTCCCCTCCCCTCAGGGGATAGTACCAGAGCTGATTTGGTTTTGACAAGGACCAATTCTGCCGAAAGTACTCAAAGCGTGGAAAGAGTGACTAGAATTGATTCCCGGGTGAGTGTGGGGTCGGAGGAGAGAGTTGCGAGACGTGATTCAATGGATAGTCTTACCAATAGAAGTAGGAGGAGTTCCAGGACTAGAGCTCCATTACCCGGCACTATGGCGAGTCCAGGATCACCTGTAGAGGATGACGTGAATTTTCATTACGGCAATCGTATATAGAACTGTGATCAGATACAAAAGTACATACTTCATCCAGGCCTGATTATCAGACTTTATTCTTAATTTTATATGCTATCTTCTTGCAGCTGAAAACACTATCTTGACTGATCCATAGCAAATGCCACTTGATGAGACAGATAAGACAATCTTCTCAATCTCCACATCTTTGTGTGTGCTCCACGGGCTTCCTGATATGATCCTTATTAGAGTGAGTAGGAAAGAAGGCTCCTTGTCGCCTGGGGAAAGGGAATGAAGAATATCTCAATTCATCTATCTGGCTGATACATGTGTCAACCTCGACTACGAGAAAGGAAGCTTCACTCCGCTTTTGGCCTTCTATCCTCTTGATAATCGCTTATAAGCGAGACGCCCCACTGCCTGAACGGGACTGTGTGTATAAGATACCTCAAGTGACCTCAAGCTACCTCAATAACCTCCACCAGACAATTTGCATCAACATGGCTGACAATCATCAGGTGAGCACCCTTCAAACTTCCGTATGGTTTTGACGTTTGTAGTCAATGACATTTTACCACTCTGCCTCAGATGATGGTACAGAACAAAACACAGAAACACAACCCGGAGAATCTCGCTCTGAAGTGGTTCGAATAACCCGTCAGTCAGATACATCAAGGGGAGGGAAAGAAGACCCCCCACCAACAGGAGGTCCACTTACCAGTTCGAATTGGTCCAATGCACTAGAAGCATATTTGAGAGGAGACAGGACATATTTACCGGATACCATGACCACAAATGATCCCACAGGGTCCCGTACTGTCTCTCAAAGGTCCCACTCGAGGTCAAATGTGTCACCCAAGGAACAGGCAACTCGCGGGATGGATAAGAATGGTGAGATTGAGATCTGGGTGGATAATACTCCGGAGGCTTCTTCAGTAGTGCATAAGAAAGAGGAATCAGAATCCAAAGTATTGAGAGCTCTGTCACAGGGTAACTGGAAGGCAACTGACTAAGTACCTTGCAAGTCTAACATTTGCATGTAGAGTAGGAAGATGTTTCATAAGGGGGATGAATCAGGTTTTCGCCACATTCGTTCAAAGTGCCACAAACGTATCTTCGCCACGTCATCCATCAATTCACCTGACTCCTTCCTACCTTCTTTCCTTTCTCCATATAGACTCATGTTTACCTAGATTTACACTCACAATAGAGCTTGAGGAGTAGCTTGAAAGATAGACGGTCTCAAGGCTGGAGGTAGAAAGACTTGAGAATCGACAAAATGTCCCGACGTTTGGCGGCATATGGTCTAGCTTCCACTGCTCTGGCAGGGGTGGTGGTCACTTCTGCCATAAAGAGCAGACCTAACTTCTTTTCTGCTGCTGTCGCGGTTGGTCGAAGTAGTGGGGCGTTGATGGTGAGTGGGTTCCCTCCGATGGTCTCGATATATCACCATACATACTTGATTACTTCATCGAGGTTGACACTTGTCCTGCCATTTGCTCCAGTACGACTAGTGCTGGTGGCCGTCGGTTGCTTACAGAGTCCCGTCTTCGGGATCTGGGACAGCATGTGTGGAGGATATACGACTATGGACGAAACTGAAGATGTCGACTGACCCCCAGATCCTGGGTAACTTCGCACTCTTTAACGTCATTTGCCTTGGTATTGCACTCAAAACCATCTTCTTCGGCCGACTTCGACCTATCGAATATGAAGTGAGCTCTTTCCTCTTTCACCATCTAGATGCTAATAACAGCACCTCTTTGAAAGATTATGGTTGTTCTTGACTGAGTCTCTATTAGCATTGACAATATTCCGGTGAGCCTTCACCTCCCAACTTTACGACCTGTACAAGAGATGGTCAGTAAAATCGTTCTGACGAATTCAGAGACGACTTCAACGCTCCTTTCGCTATCATGTACAGTTTACTCTTATTTCTCAAATGTTTCCATTGGATTACTGCCGATCGTGTCGACTACGTAAGTCTTTCTCTCCTCTCATCCTTCATATCCATGTCTCATCTCTCTTCTACCTGATGACCGTGTCGTTTCATCATGAGGGACTGATGAGTATGTCAATGACGGCTGACGTTCAGATGGATCAAATCCCTCCTCCCGGCCCTCCAATTACATATCATCTCAGAATATCATCCATCATCTCTCTCCTCACTGCAGTCGATATGATTCTCGTCATTTATTCTCTCGAGACGATCATCCTCGATGGACCATCAGCCATGATCCTTTTCGCTTCGGAATTCATGATTCTACTCGCTTCTATCTCTGGCACCTTTGCCAGGTACATGATCGGTCTGATAGATTTAAGGAGAGCCAGGGGAAGGGCGGATGCCCCAAGCTGGGAGGAAAAGTCGATGTATCTGTTTTATATCGATCTTGCTGTTGGTAAGTCTCGCTCACCAATCTTCTTCAACCCCTCACCATACAAGTATATCTCTGTTCCCCAAGGATTTTGGCAGAGATAGCGAGGGCTTGCCTGTTGAGGCAGGGATAGGAAAAAAGAAGGATTAGAAGTCGGAAAGATGAAAAGTAGCTGACAATGAAAGACTTTACAAAACTCCTCACTTACCTCTCATTCTTCGCTGTCATCCTAATGCACTACGGCCTCCCTCTGCACATTCTCCGAGACGTCTACATGACCCTCCGTTCCTTTCTCTCTCGCTGCGGAGATCTTATCCGCTATCGTCGAGCTACGAGAGACATGGACGCTTTGTATCCTAACGCCACGGCGGAGGAACTGGAACGGTCGGGTGATAGGACTTGTATCATATGCAGGGAAGAAATGATTGCTGCTCAAGAGGACAGAGCAGGTAATGGGGGACCTAATGAGACGCCGAAGAAGCTGGCTTGTGGACATGTCTTTCACTTTCATTGTTTGCGAAGCTGGTTGGAGAGACAGCAGAGTTGTCCTACTTGGTAAGTAATATTGTCTGACCCATTCATCAAAAGCACATACTCCTTTCTTGATATCTATCACATGTAGCCAAGTCGGTTGCTTATTGTCAGTCGGCGAGACGTCTTGAGGACAGCCCCTACCCGACCTAGCGCCAGACCAGGTAGACCAGCCCCACCGGCACCTGGCGCTATCCCGCAGGTCAACGCAGGGCCGAATAACAATCAACCCCTCAGAGCGGCATACGAAGATTTTTTTCGATTTGCCCAGAATCCAGACCAACCGACACCTGCAGGTGTACCACCCCCACGTCAAGGTGCCGCGATAGCCGCGGATCTAGAAGCAGCCGCCGACGCTCAGTTTCAGAGAGCTGTTCAACATACGACACCCGTCGTGACTACGAATGCCGCCGAAGCAAACGATAGCGTCGATGGCCAGATTCAGCGATCAATCTGGGGCTCTAGAGTTGTACCGGGTCAATTCTTTCCCCCGTTACTCGGTGCGACTCCTAGGTCTTCTCAATCCACCCCGGTCAGACTATCAACAGGACTCGCACCGACTCCCCGGCCATCGCTTGGTGGTATGAGCTCGAACAGAGTCCGATTGCAACCTCCTGAACGAGTCGCAAATGAACCTCTCGTTAATCCCTCTCAAACCAGTCAAGATCAAACACCGAATGTATCCGGTCCTTCGGGTGCTACCACACCTTTTCATTCCAATCCTCCTGTCATCTTCACTTCCACTGGTGCTGTCCGGCCACCTTTAGGTCCCGCTCCAGCGGCTCCGAATGGTATCGAGAACGACGCTCGTAGGGTCGCTGCAGAGGCGGCGATGAGAAGATCAGGCTTGGTCCCTCCTGGAGAAATGAGAACAAGACCGTCTTCACCTCTTGAACCTACCACCATTTCACCCCATATTTCTGCCACCAATCCTGATTCTACTATCCCACCTTTTGCTGTCAACACGGCCTCTGACAATCCGTCATCGGATACTGCTTCACCCAAAGGAAAACAACGAGCTATACCCGATGACTGGGATGCTCAACCCTTACATATCCCCCTCCTATCTCCTCTATCTTCTCAACCCCTCATCCGACCAACAACCTCGTGGGGTCGACATCCTGTGAACGTACGGGAGGCTTTGGACGATAGATTGAGGTTGTTACGCGATGTGGACGAGGTGGTATGGGGTTTGATAGGAGAGTTGAGTAGGGCTAAAAGTGCTTGGGAGGGGGAAGATCAAGGAGTTTCATCTGACAATAATGGTAGTGGGACAGGGGAGGGGTGATGTTTGTGTATGTATGCATTGCCCGTGTGCTCTGTTCAATGTGATCGACATATCTCTCCATCAAGATGGGATCTCTGTATCTGACGATTAGCTAGTTGGGTATAAACAGACTTGTAGAATACCACATTGATTCAGAAGAGTTCTCAAGTTTATTGACTTTCCTTCCTTGGGACCAGCAGAGGGCGGCCGTAGTTACACCATGAGGGAACCAGAGACATCAAGTATGAGTCATGCATATCACATGGGCTGGGCATCAACAAATGCAGATTGTACCTGGTCCATTCACAGACTCAGCGGTCAGAACAATGTAGACAACCCCTACTTGATACATGAAGGCACGTGCCAAGACACTTCACAATCATGTACTTTCCTTTCTCATCCTCGGTGTAATGGTACTGGAAACTCGATGACTAGGTTGCAGGTTGGGTCGAACTCGATGGAAGTCTTGGGGAAATCTATGTGTCTCTGGTGCTATGTGATGGATCGTGTCTCCTCTGCAAACAATGTAGCTAAAGAATGACATCGAAGAATCAGCAAAGTTGGTACTTTGCTGATTGTACTATATACTATCTACAGGGATCCGTGTCTTTCCTCTCCGTCCTACTGCAAGCGTCTATGTACATACTCGGACAGGTGAAAAACCGCTTTTGAGCAAACCCAGTGGGGAAATCTCAAAAAGGGAAAACCCGTCCCTACCTAATTGCAGCACTGCCTCCAAATCCCGCCTTTCTCTATCCTAATCCGTCGAGTTTGATTCAACTGTATCGAGTCGTTGTTACCTCGTAACACTCATCCTCAGAGAGGTCAAACCCCCTTTTCTTCAGACTCACAATGTTGGAACCGAGTTCTGAGGGAAAGACTCAAGCAGTCGACTCCATTTGTGAACAACAGTCGCTCCAAACTCGATCCGCCTGGCATCAATGTTTGGGCCTCTACGGCCCCTATAGAGGACCTGCAAACTGAAGAACTTTGTATTGTCTATGTGAGAGTCCCAGAACAAGCTGAAATTCAAACTGAACTTCAGATGATTGGGTACCTTAATGACTGCTTGACTACTTGCCCCACTCAGATCTTTTATTGTAATTCTCACTCTGCAACAAGTTTTACTCAATGTCATGTTCATTTCCGGATCAATGTAGGGTAAGTACATTGTCAACAGGTCTCTTAGATACTCTGTTGGGATTCCAAGATACCCTATGGAAACGCCGGTATCGTCAGTGATGGCTTCATATCTGGTATGAGGAAGGTGCATGATGCAAGGTGGAATGGTAGATTGAGGTGAATCATTTGAGGTGGGAAATTGTAGGTTACTTGGGATCGTCAACTGAAGATCTGGGTTTTTAAAGATGTCAAATGAGTAGTTTGACTGACAGAGAAGGGACCAAATATCATAATCATCATCAGGATGAGTACTCTCACATATCTTTTGACCATCTATATTTCTTTGATCTGCTGGTATAGGATATGTAAGAAGTGTTGATGACATGTAAGATGATAAGGAAGAAGTAACTAGTCAACTGACTTTTATACCATACTCTTGAAGAAGACTAGGTGTGAAGGATTTGCTAAAGCTGTGTTTGCCCATGAAGGGAAAGACAGAAATGTTCACTCAAAGTGTCATCATACTGGATGCAAGCAAGGTCACGAATGCCACTTCTACCGATCATGATTTGGATCGGGCGGGCGCCGAAGATTCCGATGGGAACTTGATTTGTGCCTGAACCGATGATAAGCGCCCCTTTCGCCCTTCCCCCCTATTTGCGCCCTAACTCGTCCCCGCATTTCGATTGTACATTCGGGTGTCATCTTAACAACACGTTATGACTATACATTAACACTCGTACCACACCGTACACCTTGTAACGTCAACGTAAGACATAAAAGATGGATAAGTAGTAGACTCCCACACGGTCACTCGCCACTTTCTTCTCTTTCAACCACAAGTCAGGTCTTACGATCGTCGCTGGCCGCAATGGTGGAATCACGAGGAACTTCCCACCCTGTTCCAGAAAGAACGGAGATGATTCCTCAATCACCTTCTAGATCTTCTCAAGCCGATCGACTCAGTTTTCATCAACATCCGGCTTCTCAATCAGCTCTCGAAGGAGATATTCTCCCCCAGGAGAAAACCAAGTCTGGTCCTGATGACAATACCTCCTCTTGGCCCGTTGAACAACCGCCATTAGAAACGTTTGATGAAAACGCCTTGTTGAACCTACCTCCTCCATTACCTTTCGACCTGAGAGTTGAGAATCTCTTAGTGGGAGTTCCCGGAGGAAGAGGGGGGTTGATACCCCCTTGGATCGGAAATTATCTCAGTAGTCTGAGCAAAAAGACGGAAAAGGGTGATAGAGCAGGGGAACAAGGTGGAGGAGAAAGGGGGAAAAGGAAAAGATGGATCTTGAAAAATGTCGGATGTTCATGTTCTTCTGGAGAGATGTTAGCTATGTGAGTCCGTTGTTGAACAATTGCCATGACCCTACCTATCCCGGCGCTTTCAAAGACCAAAATCTGTTGGGCGAACAATAACCGATTCTCTTCTTCAGGTTTCGTGGGTAGTTTGGGTCGGTATCATCATACCATCGTTTACATCCAAATCATAACTGACTTTGACAATGGGTACCCGCTGCCACACCATACCATCTGCTCCTGACTCCAAAATGGTCGCCGAGACAATCTTTATACCCTTGGCTCGACACGAACCACACCTTTCCCCCTTCTAATCTATGTAAATAAGAATACACTCCCTTGTCCCGTCTCTTCTATAACAGAGAGCGGGGAGAGAGGGGGGGGCGCTATTCTAAAGAGAGACCAACATCCGGCTTCCCCTCAGACAAACCAAAGCGAGCTTGGCTGACTCCCAGTCTAGGAGGAAGTGGATCAGGAAAAACAACCCTCTTAAACGCTATTGCCCATCGTTTATCTGGATTGCCCATAGAAGATGGTACAGTAGGATATTACCCTTCTTCTCGATCTGTTCCAGCGGTGGATACGGCTAGACAATTGACTAGGAATGAAGTCAAAAGGAGAATAGGGTTTGTAAGACAACAAGATTATTTGGTCGAGCATCTGACGGTGAGGGAGACTTTGACATATGTAAGTCTTTTTGTTCCTTCACCTTGCATCTATGATCTCATTTCTTTCTCCTTACACTACTCGTAGAGTACAACTCTTGTATAAGAGCATTATCCACTGTCGTGTACAATCTCCTGAACCATGGGAACCGTCTTCGCTCTACCGAGGTTCAGTTAGGGCATGAGAGAGAGTTGTTTTTCTGATAGAAATCATGTGTTTGATAATTGCTTTTGTTCTCTTGAACTGACTTGGATCAGTCTGGTCAAGAGTGAGAATTTGACGATCAGGCCGCTCGTCTCAGACTCCCGACTACCCTCAGTCATGAATCAGTCAATATGATAGTGGAGCAAACTATCGACGAACTGGGTCTACGTGACGCAGCGGACACTGTCGTAGGAGGTCCCCTACGTAAGGGGATTTCCGGGGGAGAGAAGCGGTAGGTCTTTCACATCTCAATCATTCGACAACTCCATACCTCCTCGCCATATCCTGTTCGTGTGTCATCCCATCTTTTGTGACCTCCTCACTCCGTCTACCCACTGGAACCCCCTTCCATCTCTCGGGCTTCATATCGATCTTTTCCATTTGGTCTAAAAAGAAACGCGGGGGTCCTTTTGCTCGTCAGTGCTCGACACCAGACCAATCCTACAGTCTCTAACTCACTTCCAGTCGACTATCCATAGGCTGTGTACTTGTCACCCTCCCCAGCGTCCTCATCCTCGACGTGAGTCTCTTTCCCAAAACTTCGACGTGACGCTCACAACCAAGGAACCCACATCAGGTCTTGACGCATTCACTTCCTACCTCCTCCTTCTTACTCTCTCTCAATTAGCAAGAAGGGGCCGTACTGTCATTCTCTCAATTCACGCTCCACGATCAGACGCTTTCTCTGTGTTCGATCGCATAGCACTTTTGTCAAAAGGCGAAATTGTATATTCCGGTTTGAGGGAAGATTGTTTAAGCTGGTTCTCATCATTAGGACATACGGTAGATAGAGGTGTGAATCCCCTTGGTATGTGTTCTCAAAACGTCTCTTTAACTCCCAGCTCATCCTCCATAATCCTGTCATGTCACACCATCTTATATCTTGCAGCATCATATAAGTCATCCAAACTTCACAGACGTAGGCCGAGTATGGGACAATTGTGACAAAAAGTGAGGACAATGTTGACATTCTAGACTTCCTCATTGATATCTCCACAATCGACAATAGAGATGGCGAAAAAGAAGAAATAACAAAACAACGTGTCAAATTTCTGGTTGATTCATGGAAAACAAGAGATTCAACATGGACGACTATAATTGAAAAAGAACCTTTAGATTATAGGATTGATAATCCTTCCGTTGGTCGTATTGATGATTCACAAAATATCAATACTCGTACTGGTCCTGGAGGTAATTCGATTAATGATGATTTACATCGGGTCATCACAGGTCAGATGGATGGTACGGTACAAGATGTTCAACGACCTGGTTTTTCAAAACAAACGAGGGTCCTATTAGCCAGAGCACATAAGAATGTTTATAGGAATATCCCACAGTTGATAGGTTTGTTATGTCAAGCTATATTGTTGGGTGTTATTATGGGTGTCACTTTCTATCAACTTCCAGATGTACGTCGTTTCCCTCTTCCTGTCCCTCCCTCTCTTTCCCCTCACACCTCTCATCCTCCCCGGCCCCTTATCCTGAGATCCTACCCAGTCAAAACGGCATGATGATTTTAATGAGGAATGGGTTTATTTATCGGGTCTAGGCTGACGAAAAAGACTCCTACGGGTATACAAAGTCTCAAAAACTTGACATTTCAATTCATCCCTGGGGTTCTCTACCTCCAACAAGTGTTCTGTGATTTTTCAATACCTCTTTGTTCTTTCGTCCACGCACCCCCGACCAGTGTTTCGCCAAAGCCGACCATCTCCCAGAGTTAGATTATGACGAAGAATTAAGCTAATTCCAATTTAGGGATCTGGAAATTTTGTAACGACCTAATCATCTTTGACCGAGAACGTGAAGATCGTCTCTATGTAAGTCTCGGAAGAAGAAAGAACAAGGCTGACAAAATAGGATGTGATACCTTATGTCATTTCTGATTGGTTGTCGTTCTTCCTTCCGAGTACTTTATCACCAGCTATATATTCGATTTTACTATATTTCATCGCTGGTTTGAGGAAAGATGATGTAGCTGGGAATTTGTTCACTGTGGTTGCTTCTGTAAGTCTATCCGTCTTCACTTTCTTGCTAATTCATCCCTTCCTGTTATGGCCGTACCTTTCGATCCATACTTGTAAAGAATCATAATCAGCGGAAACACTTTCGGTCCTGTTATGAATGATTCTCCCTGTACTCTGATGCAGTGAAGATTCTTTGGGGTGCGCGGTATCTTTGGCCTAACACACCGACCTCATACTTCAAGTGTACATCTGCTAATCCCTAGACTGTTGTTGTACAATACTGTGTTCAGGGTTTGGCGTTTCTGTCGGTATGTCATCCCGTCCTACACCCTTCAGATAAAGCTGAGGAAAGGCGTCATTACTTCGTTCATTTGCCGCTGCGTCGATGGTCGGGAATGCTCTCAACTTATTTCAGATGTGAGTACAGCTTCAGGCGCGTGATGAAGCTGACGGTGTAGCATGTCTTCGGGATTTATCCTGTGAGTCTTGAAAGTAAACATCGGCTTTGTGAGCTGACGCAAAGGGTACATGTGCCAGTGTACGTCTCTTGGATCCGATGGATTTCTCCGTACTTTTATTCTTATCGTGAGCTTCTGTTTTAGCCATTTTGTCTTCTGAAGTGGTACCGTCCGGAGGGCACTAAGATAATGGCAACCGAATTCCGAATGGTATTTGTGGTGTTTGCTGATGTCGAGGAATACTCGCAACGACACAATTCAAAGATAGGACCTTTCACTGTCCTCCTGACTCCTCGGCCAACCTAGACCAGGTACGCTTGACTAAAGATTCTGTCCGCGGACTCACTGCTGACCAATAGTGCATCGGTAACAACGTTTTGCGAGGATTGAATGTTAGTCTCGACATCAACATTGGCGCTTGGTTCGGAGGTCTAATCGGTCTCGCTCTGGTTGAATATGCCTTGGCTTGTCTGGTTCTCTGGGTACGTCTTCACTTACGTTCCGTTACCCCCAGCTTACGTCCAGGTGTACCCCGCAGGAGGCGTGAAAGTGATCTCACCTAAACATGGAATCGAAAGGGTGCTGAATTTCTAGCATGCAGCGGAGATCGAATCGCATCATCGTGGCAAGCAGACAGATGTCATAGAGAGTCATATGACCAGAGATCGTATAGATGTCGAGGTGAGTCGAACGTGTCACTATATGTCTGATACTAAACGATAGGTTCGGAATTTGACACTCAACTGGGAGCGTCGTGGTAGGGGAGTGATGAAAGATCGCAAAAAGGTCATTCTCGACGACGTATCAGTTCGCTTTCCCGGTCAGTCACCTCTTATAGAAGTGGAAGTAGCTAACATCACCAGCCGGAGAGATTTCTGCCATCCTCGTATGTTGATAAGTATTCTCTTTACAAGTTGCTGATGTTTAGGGACCGTCCGGAGCAGGAAAAGTGAATTCTCAGGATATGATGAATGTCGAGCTAACCTCTAGTCCACTTTATTACAACTTCTTGCTGGTCGTAAACTTCAAGCTGGCGCTTCTGCTCGTTTCATCCGAACGGGTGATATGTTATTCGCCAACGAACCTGCATCTACTTCCTCCCAATCCAATATCGCCTTTGTGGAACAAGATGATGATTGGCATCTCCCGTCATTGACCGTGAGGGAGACATTAAGATATGCTGCCATTCTTCGATTACCAAATAAAATGCCTAAGAAACAAAAGATCGCCAGAGCTGAAACTGTTCTGTTGATGCTTGGTCTTAAGGATTGTGCCGACCTACCAGTCGGAGGAGCGTTGTTAAAGGGGATTTCAGGTGGAGAGAAACGAAGACTTTCGTTAGCTGTGCAGAGTGAGCCGTTTTTTTCTTTCCAATATTGAGTCGAACTGATGAAATAGTGATCAACGATCCTGCCGTCTTATTGGTAGATGAACCGTCAGTCTTACTCATCTGTTCTCAACGGAAGCTGATAAAGTAGGACATCTGGATTAGATGCAAGTATAGCACTCAGCGTTATGCAAGTTTTGAAAGATATAGCTGCTTCAGGTCGTACGGTCATAGGTTAGTTGAAGTCCAAAGTAACATTATTAAGCTAACAGATAGCGACCATCCATCAACCTCGTAGTGATATCTGGCGTTTAGCCGATAATGTGACTCTTCTCGCTAAAGGTGGTATAATAGCTGTTAGTCTTTTCCCCCTTTACTTCACGTCACAAAGCTGAGATATCAGTTCAGTGGTAAACGTTCTTCAGCAGTGGATTATTTTACATCTATAGGACATCCAATGCCATCGGAATTTTTCAACCCTGCCGACCATCTCTTAGATTTAGTCTCGATAGATCCTCGTTCCACAAAACATGAGATCTCTTTATCCCGAGTTTCCCATTTAACTTCCCTTTGGAGATCTCGTAAAACCGAAACTATAGTGGAACCTTTCTCAAGTTCAACTACCATTTCAAGAGGATCAGGAACTACGTCTATCTTGGTAGCTTTACCAGTAGTATTATCACGTCATTGGAAATCACTCTGGAGAAGAAAAGATATTTTCTTCAATAGGTTATTCCAAACTCCACTATTAGGAGCAATGTTCATTTTATTTTTTCAACGTTTAACACATGGACCTTCTGGTGCACAAGATAGAATAGGTATTACAATCGAAAGTACTTCAGCTATAGCTTTTGTTGGATTGTTAAATGCTATGGCTATCTTTCCAGGGGAAAGAAATTTATATCTACATGAAAGTCAAAGTAGTGCGAGATATTCTGCTGGGACGTTTGTGGTTTATTATACTTTGGTGGAGATTTGGATGGAGGTCTTAGCTGCTTGTGGGTATGCGGCTATTGTGAGTGGTTTAAGTAATAACTTTTCCCTCTTTCCCCTTGGCGATTATCTTACCTTCCTCCTCTTCTTCCACCCTTCTTCCTCTTTGCAGTTGTTATCGTCCTTTTTCATCACACGGTTTTTGTTCGTTTTCCAAGAGCTTCCTCCATTTTGTGGAAACTGCACAGCATGAGACATCCGATCGACTATGAAATTATTTTGAAGAATGTCAAGAAGAGAATGAAGTAGAATGGAGAACAGTATACTAACACTTAGATGAACATCGGAGTAGGAATGCAGACTTCCGCTAGAATTTATTTCGAATTCGCTACTACCATCTTCGCCATGACCAACATGGGAGAAAGCTTCGCCATGATTTTTGGCGCTTGGATCAATACCGAAGGGTTGACAGTGACGTGAGTACTATTGCCTTGCCTCCGCCTCTTCTCTAACTCCCTGCTTGCTCTACCAGCCGATCACTCCTCTCCGTCTTTTTTGGTGATCTTCCCCATCTGGTACACCCCTCGTGATGAAGGAAACAAAAGTAGTAAGCACTTCACTGACTTGATTAGAGTTGTCTCCACTATCCTCTCCATCATTGGACAGATAAGCGGTGTCGTCTCCCTTTCTTTACCCGCTTGGTTGGGAGGTGTAAGTCACGTCCCTCTTATCCACACTCCGGAGCTGATTCTAGCTTGCATGGGCGTTTTGTACCAAAGGTGAGCTAGTCTGATACTATTTTATGGGGTTCGAGCTGACGGAAAGCCGCAACAAGAGTGCAGATCATCAATGAATGTTTGGGGTTAATGTTTAACTGTACGAACGAGGAGATACAGTCAGGTGTGTGTATCGCAAGAAGTGGAGATCAACTGTGAGTTTTTCTTAGTACCTGTCTACTTACGAATCATTTCCCTCAATGTTAAGCTTTGGGGTTCAACAAACCTATATATCACCTTGCATTTTCTCCAATTCCATGATGTCTTACCCTTTGTGAACCTCTACCCGCTTGGTTTGTTCTTCCAATATCTCGTCTTTGTGAACATAATTCCGCCGTACCACCAACAACTTTCGGAGGAAAGATCGTCTCAAATTTGAGAAGATTGAAAGAGGGGAAAAGGGAGGGGGAGTGGAAGACATGATCAGCTACGAAAATGTCACGTGAGAGAAATATTGAACATACTGACACTCAGTCTCGCCCTGTTCGGATGGAAAGATCTTAGCACGGCTCGATATGTCGAAATCATGCTTGCCGTAGCGGTGGCTTGGAGGATAGTAGCTTGGGGTAGTATAGCATTCCGAACTAGACAATGGTGAGTTGTATCAATTTGGATGCATTTCTGGTATCGATTTCCTTCAACAAGACCATACATCTTACAAACTTTCGATCGATCCCACTGACTCTACTGATACTCGCAAAGCTCAACGAGCGCTGGTATAGAACACTCGAATACGAATCTCGTCCACCCGATAACCATCGACAAAATCGTCAATCATCCATGTTGAGGGACTGATCGATAATTCTTGATCAGGGTCAATGATCCGACCGTAAAATTCTCACCTTCACCGCTTTCTCAACCTCTGATATTTTAGTCTCACACCCAAAGTTTTGATTGAGAAAAACGCCGGACGGCATTGGGAAAATGAAGATCGAGATCGACGCATAGCCTCAACATGTTTCCCACGTCAATCTAGAGGTCGTGGGGAAATGGGATCGAGGCGGTGACGTACCTTTCATTCATCCTCCATTTCTCACGTCTGCGGACTAATGAGGTAGATCTCCTATGTGAAATGCCTTATTCATCAACAAGGGAACGTTTATACTGGGTTCAAAATGAATTTCAGATTTAAGTTTGTTTCTCACATAAATACTAGCCCACTCTTGGAGTACTGAACCATCATCCATCCTACGATAACTTTTATTGGTACACATGACAACACATCCTTCCACTAGCTTGACCCACACTGCTGAGGAGACACAGCCCTCGGCAGTCCCGAAGACGGAGTACTTTCCATCAAACACCGCAGAGAAACTACCGGAGCAAGACCGAGAATTCTCCATAGACCGTGACCCCGACACGGCCGATAGTGCTCCTACGAAGACAACATATTCGATAGATCAATTACTCGCACTAAGCCATGGTTCGCCGCCCAAAAGTGCAACGGCAACTTCAAAGATGTTGACCCGTGACTCAGACAAAGAGGCTGTTGTATTGGAAAGTGGCCTCCTTAGCTCTCACGCCGCTCCAAGCAAAGTAAGGAGCAGCCCAAATTCGAGTGATTTCAAAATGGAAATGTCTGAGAGTGCACACTTTCGAAGGAGGCGCAACAAGACCGGAGAGAGTTCAGCAGCTTCTGATGCTATTTCTGGCACTGAGCGCGCGCCTGTTGGTAGCTCGGACATTCCGAACTCAGAAGACAATGAGAAGGAACGAGAATGATGTAGGTAAATAGCCAGATAATTGTCACATAGTGAAACGATGAATGTGGAGGATGCATCACCAAATGTCTGGAGGAGTGTGATGGCTGGTGACTTACTCCTTGACAAGACGTTTTGCAATGTCAAAGTAGAGCTACTTCTACTGACAGCCAGGTTTGTGGGGCAGACATAGCCACAGCCATGACTCGAGAAGAGACAAGAGAAGAGACGAGAGAAGAGACGAGAGAAGAGACGAGAGACGAGACGAGAGCATCGAGGTTAGACCATGATGCATGTCCTGTAGGTATCACCCTTCAATGCAAGCTATACATGCCGGGGTTGCTGGACTATTTGACTCTTTGATCTAAGCCAGTAGCTATTGTCAGATCAGCTCGATCTTCGAGAATCCACCCTTGGCCCTATTCCACAGCATGTCTGGTCGAACCGCCGATAGTCAAGGGTTGCGGTAGGGGAATGGCGAGAAATTAAGTACGTTGTAGAGCAGGTTGGAGGAATCAAGAAGAACGAGAAGGTAGAAAGACAGCAGGCAGTGTGAGTTGTGAGAGTTTATGATCTTCAACTGACCAATCACTTTACTATTGTCCTGGGATAGAAGTTCAGCTGCTGACAATGGCTGAACTCACAACCTACAAAAGGTTGGCCCCATTTTCGAACTTCTGATATTCCGTCTCAGTTCAACCCAAAAATTTGTCTCTCCCTTCCATGTCCCTTGCTACCCCATATTCTTCTTGTAAGCTTCCACGCAATTGGGTGCTCCTGAGAAGTAGCTCTTTGAGTGATCTCCATACCCAACTCTCACACTAATTGAGCGAGATGATTCGAACGGGTACCGTCTTCAGCTCACATATCTTACACTACATATGTATCTCCCCTACCCATCAACCGAAACTCACCCTGCTCCCCAACATCCACTTTGTTGGGATCAAGGTGAAGATTGTAAGGTGCGCCTTACTTAGCTATATAGTCAAAACATTATAAGATCTGATATACATTCTTGTTCCCCGTCTCAAGTCAAGATAGACGGACGGAGTCATAGAAATGATCAGGCATACGGAGAGGATCCCGGACGGATCATCAAAATCGCTATCGTTTCCTATTTTCAATCCCATACGCAATCAACCTGACCAGACCTTTCTCATGTCATCAAGCTGCTCGTCATACTCCCCTCTTCTCACGTCAAAGAGGATGAGATGGACGCATAGCCCCTTAGAATCCCACAAGTAGAGAATAGGGAAGTGTGGGAAAGGTGAACAGACAGAACGGTGACGTCTCAACTCCCCGAGATTGACGTCACCCTCGGCGCGCGGACCATCCAGGCCATAGTTGTCCGTGGGAATGGACATGCTGAGTTTCCAGGATGAGTCTGTGTTGGGCCTAGACTCAACTACAGTTATGGCTCTGAATTTCCTATAAGAATTGAGTGAGCATTGACATGATTTGCCACTTGTAAACCTACTCACAAAAATGAACAATACGGAAAACAATCAATCATCATTCAGTCCCATTCAACACGTCTCTACTACCGCAGATAGGTACAGGTCAAGGGGAAGAATCTCAATACCTGAGATACTCAGACTCTACTCCCAAAACTATGGACCTGAAAGTCCGGAGTTGATGATGTCTCTCAGGGAGATGGCTTTATGCTTGACCTGCAGACCAAACAATGCTTGCACCCAAAGGGTCAGTGAAGTAGGGGCCAGGGGAGTATTATCCACATACCTAAAACCCCAGGCACCTACCCAAGGGAGAACTCGGGGGATTGCTTGGAAAGACAGTCTCGTCCCCCGTCGCACATTGACATCTTCCAACTTGTTTGCCGTCCTCGATCCCGAGACCCAATTGGACAATCCTGTCAATGCTCTCTCCTCATCTGATGTGAATGGATCGACTACACTCTCTCAGAAAAATGAGCAAGAAGCTACATCCAATGATAAAGCTTCAAGTAATGATCAACAAGTTGCACTTACATCCCACAATGATGGGTTTGGGAAGAAGACCTCCCGGGTCACTGATACAACTGGGCAGCAGGAAGCCTCTGGGGCGGAGAATACCTATTCATCAGCTGCAACATTGAGACCACATGATCTGGCAAATGAATGGACCAAAGTTACCCCTAGGTCTGCACTACGCCCCAGAAGTTCTCATGGTCAAGCACACAGGAGGTGAGTGGTACATGTAGCTCAGTCACCAGATGAGCAAATGTTTCGTGAGGGGTTTGCAGGCATGCATGGTTTTAGAGTCTATGTCCCACAAGTCAAGTTCTCACTCACCATGCAAGATTGATTTGCTGACACTATTCCCGGCTCCTCCCAAAGGTACCCAATGTCCAGGCTTAATAGGGGTTCAAGAAATTGTGCCAACACACCCTAGCCTACAGCAGGAAACGTGACTTTGTAGCTTCACCTGTAGTAAGATGTGACGCGACCAGGTCGGATGAACTTGAACTTCTGTCCGTCCTGTCGGTGACACCTCTCATGTGTCTGTCCCAAACGTAAGGGACTCAACGTCGTTAATCAAATACAAGTACATTGCTACTTTCCTAATTGCACACAGTCGCAGGATTACTTCGTAGATCTCCCTTCAGACTCCAACCCTTCTCCTCAAATACGGGTAAGGGCTTTTGGCCGAAATCTCCGTGAAACATTCATGATATGACAAGAAAAAAAAAGATACTGCTTGTTCAAGCTGCTTAGGGGAACGAAGGAACTCTGAACAGCTGAACTCAGGTCACCAAATAGACAACACAATATAAGAGCTTAGCACCAAAGATCAGGATGCATATGTTTGTATATCCGTTTCATTTCTACCTCGACATCCTTTCCCGCCTGAATTCGTTACGAACCGATGTTCGAGCCTTTCACTCACCGGCAGTTCCTATCGTAAAATCTATTGTCTCCAGGTGGACATGCATATCTCCACACTATATAGACCTATCTGTTTTTCTCGTAGACTCAATAGCCCTCTGGTTTCTTGTGGAACGCGAAGGACGTGGGAAACTCCTTTACACCATTCGTTCCACTACTTCCCCACCTCCCTCACCGATTGACTGCTCTCCTGTTTTCTCCGCTAGACAATGCTCAAGACAGGATAATCTCCTAGCAGATGAAGCGAGGTCGGCTCGTTAAGCTTCCCAAAAATACGCAGGATGTAGAACGTATCAAACGCCGCGGTCCCCCTACCTCGTTTGTTCCCCTCCCTTTCTCCTTCCCTGCCTAGGAGCTGAGTTGTAGTCAAGAAGGAGCCTTAATTCTACCATACCCTCCCTTCATCCCTCTCCATTCAACTACCTGATGAGTATTGGATGGGCGCTCTGATCCTCTGGTCCAAGATATATCTAGGAGGGAGAAGAGAGCATCTTACCTTTTCCCCAAACCAACAGGAAAATAGACCTGTTGAAGGAACTGATCAGAATGTCCTCAATATCTTCTGTCCCTTCGTGTTCCACCGATCGAAACAATGATATCATGACTCGTACGCCAGATTGTGGTAAGTTACCTTCAGGAGTAACAAGTCAAGCGGTCCATTCGATCAACTTGCCGGGTGGTGGTCGACCCGATGGTGACAACATCAAACCCTGGGATAAAGAACTGGTAGACTTCTTCGGGAGGGATATCTTGGAAAGTCGAGCCGAAACCAGAACTTGTGCTCCGTCTGTCAGAGAGACCTCATCTACTGCCCTTTGCATGCACAATGGCACGGGAGTAGTGGAGCACGGTTCTTTAGAACCAGGGATGGGTCAGCATCGGTCTGACGGACTTGGGTCGGGTCTGTCAGATACAAATGAGGGTGAGACGCCCCCGATGAACCACCCACCGGGGCAGACTCCAGCTTCGATAGCAGACACGAGTCTGGAGAATGGTTGGGTCGTCGTTGATACGCCTCAAGGTCAGAAGTAAGCGGACAGGAAGAGAGGAAGGTATGAGTGGTTATGTCGTACGAGTGGAGTACTCGTACTTGTAGACATGCATCGAGTGAAAAGTGAGAAAGTGCCACATGTCAGGAACGCCACATGCCACAGTCGATGCGATTTGCTTCCGCTGCTCTTCCGCTGCTCTCCTACTGCAAGTTACTCTACCACTACTAAGTCGAGTCTAAAAACCATCAACCTTGCCTCGGCGACACTTATCATGACTACCCTCGCAAAGTCTATACCCAGGACAGTCAAGGAGATCCGTTTGCATCTTTGTCAGACTTCTCCAGCTTCGCAGGGCGTTCGGTGGGTGATTTTGAACCACTTCCTTCCTTCCCGTATCTCTGTCCCCCTGTCTCCTTCGTATCTGCCTCCGGAGCTCTCCTGGATCCGCGGTTAAGGATCTGTACGGATCATCCGGTATTGGTATTTACTTCGGGAATACTTACTAGGCTACATGGACTAACATTTGCAGGCAATTCATTCTCTCCTCCTACTCCGGCATCAAAGCGTCCAATCCCGATCTCAAATTCCTTATACGAGAAGCGGCCGGTGTGGAACCAAAGGCGTTTGTTCGATGGGGTCAGTCAGACATTCTTGAGTCATTCATGCAACCTGGCTCTCAATCGCTTCCTCAACTAAGTCGATCCCTCGTCTTCATATCAAATATACCTCATCTGATCATATCAGGCTGACGGCCAGAACGCGGGGTTGAGAGCTCAACAGGTCTGTCAGGGTTGAACGAGAAGGATGTTGCTAGCGCATTAAATCAGCTCGTGAATCAACAAACCGTCGGCAAGGCATGATCATGCATCCATTGTCATATCATCTCACCCAATCTCTTCTCAAAACCCGTGACCCCATACTCAGTCGACCCTTGATGGCCTCTGGTCATTCGAATCCAGACTTCAACAGTCTATCACATGACGTGTCCACAATCGTATGTACTCGTAATCTTGTCATCCCTGAAAGCAGTACAGCTGGTCTCCTTACGACAAGATTGACCCCTTGACAACCTCAGAAACTCCTTGACGACACTGTCCGGCCGTGCGTCGGGTCCTCTTGCTTCGCCTAGAAACGCAACGATCATCACTAGAACCAATTGGAAACCTCGACGACGAGCACTCAAACCACCTTGAATGGAAACAGAGGCATATCGCCCTCGGTCGCTGAGGCCAAGACCCTGACAACCTCCTCTAGTCATATGGAGCACTGGAGTCACTAAGACAAGTTTTACCATTCTTCTCTTCATCTTCCTCATCTCTAACATTACGATCCGGAATCTCTTTCTTTGGTGCTGGCACTGACACTGGCGGACTGGTTCACGCTCCTTTACAGCCTCGACGGTTCTACATTCCTCTCCCTCGTGTCTTCACCTGCTTCATCCCGGCAGTTGAAAATCTAATCGTCACTTCGTAATTCGTATCAGAGAGAAAAAGAAATAGGAAAACATCAACATGAAGCGCATTCATTCCACTTTTGTCGCTTGGGCAATCGCCCAGCCTGCTATGGCTCAAATTGTTATAGGATGGTCCGGTGATACAGGTTATTCGATGCCTACAGCTACTTCCACCGTCGAATCATCCCCGACTGCCACGGCAGAGTATGTAGGTTCACCTGCTCCGACTGTGACACCCGCTGCGACATATTACTCGCCGACGCCTGCTTCACCCGGAGTGCCTTATGTCACCCAACCGGGCGATACATGTACTGGATGGGGTTGCGGAGAGGTTATGCCGGCTTCCATGTGAGTGACCATTCGCCAACCCGACCTACATTCCCCTATTCGATTCAGATCTCAACTTGAATTATCGTTCCAAAGAAGCATACGAGCTGATTACCAGACAAAACAGCTACTATCCCGTCGTCACTGCATGGGGCTACCAATCCATGGCGTGTGGTTATGGTTATGCACGTGGTTCCAGTGGTTATTGCGAGGTACTCCCTTGGTATGAAGTAACCTTGGGTTGTTATGAGACGACTATCATTCAGCGTAAGTCCCTCAGCTTCTTCTTGTGTCCATATCCCTCTTCGTGTCCACTTGACCCTTGTTATCTTTATCTTCAGTCCATCGTATTAGATCTTTTCATCTGCATCGAGAGTTCTCTTCTTAGGTCTTTGCTGACGTACAGAAACTACCGAAGTGTTCCAGCAAAACTGTTATGCTCAGACTTACACCTTGACTCGTATGTTCTTCCTTCATTCTTGGATGCCGCACGCTGACTGATTCAGAAACTGAGACCGAGACATGCACTGTGTATGTTAACAGCTCTTTACTTGTAGATAGGGAAAGTCCGCTAATCCTTCAGCACAGAGACCAGCATAGAGATGTCTGTCAGTACAACCACCGAGCTATCTACAGTGTACGTTTATATTTTACTCGTAATTGAGTGACAAAAGCTCATGGACCAGCACTCAGGCGATCCCCACTACGGTCATCCAAACCATGTTCGATACAGAGACAGACGTATCAACAGAGGTTCAGACTGCTTTCCAGACAAATTTCGTCACTGCCACCGAGTTAGTAGTTTCTCCTTCACTTGCAGACTTTCATCATGGCTGTCATACCTCAAGCATCTAGCCGGAATATGAAGTTACAATGAACTTTTTTCGACATATCATGAGCTGTTTTGGCCTCGGAATCGTGCTGATGTAACAGAGACGTTACGGTGACATACACCGAACTGGACACCATGACACAGTTCATGTAAGTTCTTCCCGACTTCTCCTCACCATCCAACTTCCAACCGTATCCTCCCCCATTTCGAGTAGTCCGTCGTCAAGGGATGAATTATGTAGTATCATGATTTGGAGTGACTATGAACACCAGCTGACTCCATAGGACGGAGACGCAGACAATGACAGAGACTATGACTCAGTACGCCACCGTGACGTCTCAAGTTATGGTACCGACGACTATCGTCTCGACCGTCTTCATGACTGATACTATGGTGTGTCATTTATCCATCCCCCATTATCCCTGCTTGATGGCGTCCACGAGGACGTTCACTCTCCCTCACAACGTCATTGGCACTTTGATCCCCTCCCCGGTTCCTTGAAACGTGCATGGTGTCCCAAAGGAGCCCGATCAGTGACAAGGTTCAAATTGTTTCCGGAAGTAACACTGACATTTAGACCGAGGTCCAACCTACGACGGTAGTCCAGACTCAACTTCAGACGTATTTCTTGACTGATACCGCTACAGTCACCCAAGAACAGTGAGTTCAAAGTTCTCCTATGATATCCTGTCTTGATCATCGTCACGTCCATTGGATTACGTCCTCCGTACGAAAACAAAGTAATTGTCTGTGCTGATCAGACAGAACTTTATTCGATACATTGACTGCAACACAGACCGAGTTGGACACTGTCGTTCAGACTGAGGTGAGTGTCACTGCTCTAAAGTTCCTTCTGGGTCCATTATCCCTCCGTAGCTCTACCTGTCTCACAGATTAACCTACCCTGTTGTCGAGCTTCATAATGTCCGTTTGATAAATATCGAAGAAACCTTCCGCTGACTTCCAGATCGACACCCAGCTTAAAACTTTATTCGACACCGTCATCTCCACCCAACTTCAAGTCGAGACTGCTACTCAAACCGAAGTTCAAACCCTACTTCAGACATATACGGCAGTCTTGACCGACACCGCTACCGAAATCCTCACTTCCACAGCCACCCAAACTGAAATCGCCACTCAGACAGAAACTGCGACATATCTCCGAACCCTTCTTAACACCCTCACTGAAACTAAGCTCGGTACCGTCACCCAAACCCAGACTTCGATCCAAACTGCAACCCTAACCGCGACCTCAATAGAAACCTCCATCGCGACCTCTACCTTGGAACAGACCGAAACGCAAATTTCGACCGTCACGCAGACCAAAACGGAGGTCAATGCAGTCGACGCGCAGCCTACGGCGTTACAAAGCTGTCAAGCCAGTTGTTCGAACGTTTGGTCGTATTGGGGTAAAGGAGCGACCGAGACGATGAGTTATGGAAGTTATCAAACTGCCATGGCAGGGTCTGGGTACTCAGGTTCTACGGCTTATAGTGGAGAGGGAGCGTATGAAGCTTCGTCAGGTGGAGGATGTGAAGGTGGATCGTGCAAGAGAGCCAAGGATGTTAAGAGGTTTGACGGACGTAGAGTTCGGAAGAACCTCGGACATTGATCATCATCATCATCTCATCGCACTTCTCGTTCTTGTTAACGCCCTCGTGTAACGTGAGTTTCCCCACGGACCGTGGCGTGGGAGTAAATTTGATAAGGAATGGGAGTGTGATGGAGGGGATACGTGGTGTTGTGATGAAGTTAGAGATGTATACGTCGGACACTTATAATCGCATGTCGCATGGATGATTATACATCATGTTTGTCTCAATTATGGAATCGACTGCATATCAGAATCCTCAATCACCTATACCTCCGTGGGGCATCGCTTTGGGTGCTCTGTTCAAACTGTGTCTCGTTTTTGATAACGAGACAAGATGGGTAATAACCAGTCTAGCCCTTGTAGTGGAAGACCCAAGAAGCTGAGTGAAGGATTGAAAACAGGTTGATGCAAAACTGTCACCAAAGTCACTGCCGCATGCTGCACAGCCGAAAAGAATCCGGGATAGAAATGTGTTGGTCTACTTTGAGGGAACAAATGAGAGTATTGGGCTTTAGACACCGCATTAGCTATGGCTAGAAGTGAGCCTCTTCTTACTCCACCACATCGTCGACTGCATAGGGATTAGGCTAAGAAGTACTGAAATTCTGATTGGACAAGAGATTCACATGCGGGCAAAGCAAAAACATGGATAGTCCAGGGGACCAATCTGTCACAAACATTGTTCTCTCTCTTGCTACCAAATGTAAGGACCAGACGTCGGGATAGTCTGCGTCGATGAGCTATGACAATGAGGCCTTGTAGGGAACAAACCTAGTGATGTAGTGTATCGAAGAGATCTGTAAGATCGATGAGATGTATGTCAAATGATATAACTAGGAAAACACAAAATACATTCGACAAGACATTGCTGAGAAAAGACTACGTCTATATACTAAAAAGAGAGCGGAGTGATACCGATAAGAGCATGCGTAGTTTGGAATGAAGTCGAGGTAGAATAGGAGAGGAAGAGCGATGATAGTTACCGAGACGGAGATGTAAAAAAGGGTAGAGGTGTCGAATGAGTGGAACCAGGCGTAGTAGCAAACGGAGTAAGCCCGGACGCGGGAATGGAGACGGGGACGGGAATGGAAAAGAGTACGACTACAAGGTAAGGTACCCGTGGTACCGCGTGATCCTGACATTACTCCCCTCCTTCGGTAGACGTCGTCTCGACGTCATCGTGATGGTTGTTAAGAGAATTTGATGGTTGTCAGGAATTCCACGTGGTCATGACGTGTCATTACTTATCAAATAATGTTCCCCTCGTCGTGTAGTTCGATTCCTTCTCTTCTCGTCTCTTCTCTTTACCTCTTTACTCATTTCTTTTCTGACCTTCTCCATTCTAACAACACTTTTACTAACAATGGTTACTCGTAAACCACTTGCGTCCTTGAAAAAGGCCACCGAAGCGTCTGTGAGTACGAGTACCATGATCCGTGCGAAAGAAACGAAAAAAATCCTCGATTTTGTGGTGGAGGACTGGCTGACGAGATAAGTCCCTCCTGTTCGTTCTCCTCCACCTGTTGCCGTCGCCGGTCCCTCCAAGCAACGTGTTGGTCAAGGTCGTAAAGAAACCCCCAATCCACGTCATTTAACTCCTTTTCCTCATGATCCTGATCCTCCTGCCGATCTTCCGATTCCTTCTACCGATGCTCCGTTTCCTTCTACACCTCTCCGGGAAGTTTCTACCGCCGTCGAGTATCAAACTCCCCGAAATAAACAAATTAAAGGTGGTGTTGAGGCTTCCGGACCTCCCTATCGTGAAGGACCCCTCATCGTTGTTCCCAAACCGGGTGGTCGACAGAACTCGTACCACGATATTGTTCTTCAAGCTATGGACGTGTCTTCCAACAAAGTCCAAGTACGTCTCCTACCACACGTTGTTTGTTTTGAATATTGACTAGTAGAATTTTATCCATTACCTTCGTTTATGGAAGTCGACGAAGGCTGAATCCACAAGGGCCAAGGTCGATCTCGTACTTTCTGTTCTTGGTACTGAGCAGACCATCGTAGGGTACGCGTCTGAACCTTGTAATTGTTGTGAAGACATGCTTTCCAAACCTTCCCGCTGGCAGGATTTCACTAAGAAGTGGCCGTGTTTGGTACCCGTTATCCGCTTTTCGGGTTCCGAGCAGTATCATATTTGTGGACAGTGAGTTCTAAATAGTTTCGTACCAGGTGTAGTTCGTTAATTTCTAGTTGTTACTGGTGCCTGGTCGACCGTGGTACATGCTCCTTCGCTGTTGATTCCCGTATAGGTCCCCGTGACCAATTAAAATTTTCAATGACCCAATGGAAGGCTATGTACACGACACTCGATAAAGCCATGGCGAATGCCATCCTCTTGTCTCACCGTTATGGTGTAAGGATCGACGAAGAAGATGCAGTTCAGGTTGCTGTCAAACAGCAAGTTAATGATGTTTATTCCAGTGTACTTGATCTTTGTGTAGTGCGTGTTTGTTTCCTACCACACGTAGTTCCTAACCTTCAGAAGCTAAACGAATGTAAAATATCTGGTCCCGATTTCCGTGTACCCATTCCCCATCGTTTCGGACACGTAGTTGGTATCCAAGTCCCCGATTACTGTAATGTTCGGTGGGCATACTCTGCTTTGCCGGACAAGAAACGAAGACCGGTCCCCATCGCCAAAACTGGTTCGTCTAAGAAGAAGTATAAGAAGTCGAAAGGAAAACAGAAGGCTGTAGACGATTTCGAGTCTGATTCTGAACCAAGTGAACCGTCGATTGAGGATAGTGACGAGGATGAGAGTAAATCCTCTCATACCACCACCGAAACGGAAGAAGTGGAGGGTGAATCCGGTAACGCTGGCGAGGAAGTCGAGGCATAGATTTTTGTATCAATTATCGTGTCCTTTGTTGTGTGGTACGGGTGGAATGAAGCCTACTACCTGTAGATAGCATCAAATTTGTTCATAGAAGAGTATCATCATGCAATCTTTTCTCGTCATGTCGAAGTATTATTGAAATTTGTTATTTGCTGAGCCCCTAAAGGGTCTCAGCAAAACGCAACTTAGCAGTTGGTTTTCTGTGTCGTTTTGTATGAAGTACATTGGTACCCAACGACGTGTTGTTGGAATCCATCCTCGAATTGTTGGAATTCTTTAAGAATTCTATAACTTTTGGGTTGGTTTTGATGGTTTCCAACGGTTGCCAAGTGGCTTCCCCTTCAGGGAATCCAGTCCAGACAATCTTAAGTTGTTCTTCGGCCTTGTTACGACCAGGTAGTCTGATTTTCCTTTTCCCTATCACCTTTTCAACCTCGTAGAGGTCTTCCTCCTCTTCTACCACGTCTTGTTTGGAAGTTACCAAGGCTGGTTCTGATTCAATCACTTGTCCTTTAGATCTAGCAAGTAGTTTTACGTTGAATACTGGGTGTATCTTATTTGCTAACATCTCTTTTGGTAAATCTAGCTTGTAGGCATTATCATTGATTTTCTGGATAATCTTGTATGGTCCCACGAAGCGGTGATCCAATTTTCTTGTGGGTCTTAATGATTTTAAGTTCCTTGAGTCCAACCAAACCTTGTCACCTACGTCGAAAACAATATTTCTATGTTTTTTGTCGTATTGGTGTTTATAGTTTTCTTGAGCACGTTGTAGGTTTTCTTTTAGGCGTTGTTGAAGTTTACCTAGAGCTGTAACTCTTGCGGTAGCACGTGGAGAAGGAAATGGTGTAGCCTTGTCGTAAATAGGCTGCATCATGTTGGTTCTATAGTCCCGCCCTGAGTAAGCTTTTAAGGGGGACATCTGAATGGAGCTATGCCAGTTTGTATTGTAGCATAGCTCAGCAAAGTGTAAAAGGGAGCTCCAATTATCTTGCTCCGTATTGACATAGATTCTAAGGTATTGTTCAAGCCATTGGTTTACTCTCTCCGTCTGTCCATCGGTTTGTGGGTGGTACGCTGTTGAGTACTTCAAGTCCGTTCCCAACAACGTGTCGAAGGTTTTCCAAAACCTAGAGACGAATAAAGATCCTCTGTCAGACACAATTGAGTCTGGTACACCAAATCTTGTGTACACTTTCTTGAGGAATAATTCCGCAAAATCTTCTGCAGTTATAGTGGTAACGGTGGGAATAAAGACAGCCACTTTCGTCAACCTATCGACAACTACCAAGATTGAGTTAAAATTGTTTGATTTGGGTAGGGGTCCAATAAAGTCACAAGTAATATCAGCCCATGGTTTTCCGGGTACTTCTAGGGGTTGTAGGAAACCAGCAGGGGCTTGACGTCTTGCTTTGGTGCGTTGACAGATTTCGCACTCTTCACAATACTTTCTAATATCTTCTTTCATCCCAGTCCAAAACCACAACTCGCTAATTTTTCTTAATGTTACTCTCCAACCAGGGTGTCCAGCATCCTTTCCACCATGTTCATGTTGGATAATTCGACGCCGTTCCTCCTGGGTTTTCACGAAATGTTTGTCCCCTTGTAGTTTGATCATGGAGAGAAGTAGTTGTTCGCTGGTAAGCAGTGGATGGTTATTATGATCATTGAGTTCTGAAGATAATGAGGTCTGTTTAACATCCAACGGCCTGTAGTCGACTCTGCGGGACAGCGCGTCCGGTTTCGTCGACTGCTTGCCGGGTCTGTATTGGATAATAAAGTTAAACTCCGACAAGAATTCGTACCAACGAGCTTGCCTTCTTGTGAGTTGCTTCGTGGTAAGGAAAACTTGTAAACTTTGGTGGTCCGTAAGGACTACTACCGGTACTTCGGTTCCTTCTAGGTACTGGCGCCATTCCTTAAAGGCATATACTATTGCGAGCAGCTCCTTTTCGGCCACCGGATAGTTAAGTTCCGCCGGTGCCATGCTTCGTGAAGCAAAAGCAACTGGACGTAGTACGTTGTCTTCATGCTGTGAAAGGATTGCACCAAGGGCATAATCCGAAGCGTCGGTTTCCACAATGCACGGTAATTTTGGATCAAAATGCCGTAATATTGGTCCTGATCCAACTTTAATTTTAAGTTCTTCGAAAGCTTTGTCACATTTCTCGTCCCATGAGAATGATATCCCCTTCCTGGTAAGTTCATGTAGGGGTTTAGCTATATGTGCAAACCCTGCAATGAACCTTCGATAAAAATTAACAAACCCTAGAAAGGATTGAACTTCCTTGACCGTTTTCGGTTTAGGCCATTCTTTTATTGACTTTTCCTTCTTCGGATCCATTTCTATCCCTCCAGGTCGAATGACATATCCTAGGAACTCGACCATTTGAACATGAAAATCACATTTATCATGTTTGGCGAACAGCTTGTGTTGACGAAGTCTTTCTAACACTTGTCGGACATCTTTAACGTGTTGTTGGATATCTGGGGAATAAACAAGGATGTCATCTAGATATATAATGACGTTCTTGTCCAGCATATCCCTAAAGATGTGGTTCATGAGGTGTTGGAAGGACGCAGGAGCATTCGTGAGTCCAAAAGGCATTACCCTATATTCGAAAAGACCGTATCTTGTACGAAAAGCCGTTTTCCATTCATCCCCTTTTGCTATGCGTAGTAGGTTGTAAGCACCACGTAGATCAATTTTGGAATAAATGTTGGCGGATTTAAGTTGGTCCAATAGGTCTCCGATAAGGGGTAGAGGGTAACGATTCTTGACTGTAATTTCATTCAGTCTGCGATAGTCCACACAGAGCCGTAGAGATCCATCTTTCTTTTTAACAAACAAGATTGGAGCTCCAGCAGGACTTTCTGATGGAGTGATGAAGCCCTTATTCAGGTTTTCTTCGAGATAATTTTTGAGAGCTTCTTGTTCAATATGGGAGAGGGAATATATGGGTCCAAAAGTAGGTGTTTTCCCCTCAACCAGGGGTATACGGTGATCAAAAGGACGATGTTCAGGCAGTTTATTTGCTCCTCCTTTAGAGAAAACATCTAGATATTCCCAATATTCTTTTGGTACGATTTGCTTTGGTTCTGTTTCGTCTTCTGGTACAGTCCGTGCGTAAACAGCGCCCCTAATATCGGTAGGTTCTACCTCTTGATCGAAAGCTTCTGGGCTAATAATATTTAGGAATTGAAACCTGTTGTTGGTTTCCAACGAGCGTGGAATCAAAGTCTGTGTTGACCAGTCGATAATTGGGTTGATCTTGTTCAAAAATGTGAGCCCAAGGACGATAGGGGCAGGGTGGATTTTTGTGACTGTGAAAGGTTGATTCGTACACCTCAAAACCTTCACCCAACAGTATTCGAAGACGTATTTCCTTGGTCAGAAGCGTGTAGCGCCATCTGGTAAACGGAGTCGTTCGACTTGGGTCTTTGTGGTAGGTTTGAGATGAGAACGTTCAATAAATCCTTCGTCTACAAAGTCCACTGTGCTCACTATCTACCATGGCTCGGGAATGTACATTTGGTTGACCGATAACAATAACAGGAATGTGATAAGTGATTGGTTGTTGTTTGGAACGGAGATGGGCGTGGTTGGAATACTACTAGGTGTAGTTGAAATCATTGATTCCTTGACCATGGACGAGAAGTGGACATGGTTCGTTTCCTCTGTCTCCTCCTTCAAGGTTTCCCTTTCCAACAACGTCTCTTCCCTCCTAGGGTACCCATTATCTACGGTAAGGGTGTTCAGCTTGATTTTATTTGACCCTGTTACTGGTGGTTTCTTCTTTGCTTCTGGGCACGCGCTAGCCATGTGGCCAGCGTTGCCACAGTATAAGCATAACCCGTTGTCTCGTCTGTATTTCTTCTCGTCGTAGGTGAGACTTTTCCTACTAGAGTTGGATTTGGACTTGTTGTAGTCTGATTTCTTCACATTCTGGTTGTTGGAATCGCGCTGACCATATGTAGATTTCGGAGAAGACGTAGTAGGATTTCCTTTAGGTGTGTTTGTCCTCTGTCTATCCCTTTCTTTGTTACGGTTGCCCTGTCCACCAGAATTATTGTTCCATTGATAAGAAGTTTTGACACCTTCTAGATGAACGTAAAGACTAATTGCAGCGTCTGCAAGCTCTTTAAGAGTTTGAGGTTGGTGTTCCCGATTTGCGAGAGCTACTCGAATTTCTGTTGACAGTCCAGATTCGAAAGCATCCTTGAGTGCTCGGTCGTCCCAATCGACATCAGCCGAAATTGAGAGGAACGACGAGTAATAGTCCGATACCGACTTGTCTTGACGAAGACGTTTTAGACGTTGTACCGCGTAGCGGTGTCTATCAGGATCTCCAAACATCCTTTTCACCTGTTCCAAGAAAAGGCTCAAGTTGAAAGCCCACTCTGGCTGGTCCTTTTCCGACTTGACGTAGTACGCTTGCCACCACCTTCCTGCTTTCCCCCTCAAATAACTAGCCGCCCACAAAACTCTAAATCTATCGTTCATACCTCCCCCTCTAAGATCCAGATAAAGCCTTACTTCAGCCACATAAGCATCTACCTTGTCCCCGTTCCCGTGAAACGTGTCGGGGGTTTTGATATCCATCTTCCTTATGTCTGAACCCAACAGGTCGTAGTTGGAATTCATATGTTCACCTTGCCTTCCGTAAGTCCCCTGTCTGAATCGTTCAGGATGAGTTTGAGAGAATGGAGTACTAGTAAATGGGGTTCTGAGGTGTGATTGGCCCCGATGCGCGTTTGTCGGAATTGGAATTGGTTGAGTATGAATTGGACGTTGCTGATTGACAGCTGGCAACGTGTCATTCAAATCCAACGACGTGTGGTTGGAATTTGGTGAAGAGTGATTGGAATGCGGATTGGGTTCGTTTGTACCCACTACCGCCACGTTGGGAGAGAACCCGTGCACTGTAGGTTCTTGTCCCAGGTTCTCGAGAGTCCCTTGTCCTTCTACAGGACGATTCCCCACTTGCGGCCCTGTTCGAAGAGCGGCAAGTTCTGCTTGAAGCTGAATAATAACTTGATTTTGTTCTTGGTGATGCTGACGCATCTCTTGGAGTTCAGCTTGGAAAGTGCGACGATCATGTCGAAAATCGCGAAGATTTGCGACAGATGTGCGATCAAAGGTGGGTGAATCAGGAAGGGACATTGTTAACAACCGATAACGTGTTGTTGGTAATCACCTAGGTCTTGTTCGGTACAAGTAAGGTCGAATGTATTTTATGTAAGGACCAGACGTCGGGATAGTCTGCGTCGATGAGCTATGACAATGAGGCCTTGTAGGGAACAAACCTAGTGATGTAGTGTATCGAAGAGATCTGTAAGATCGATGAGATGTATGTCAAATGATATAACTAGGAAAACACAAAATACATTCGACAAGACATTGCTGAGAAAAGACTACGTCTATATACTAAAAAGAGAGCGGAGTGATACCGATAAGAGCATGCGTAGTTTGGAATGAAGTCGAGGTAGAATAGGAGAGGAAGAGCGATGATAGTTACCGAGACGGAGATGTAAAAAAGGGTAGAGGTGTCGAATGAGTGGAACCAGGCGTAGTAGCAAACGGAGTAAGCCCGGACGCGGGAATGGAGACGGGGACGGGAATGGAAAAGAGTACGACTACAAGGTAAGGTACCCGTGGTACCGCGTGATCCTGACACCAAACCAACAGTCGACAAACCTCAGCTGTCAACTTCATACTGGGGTGTTGATGTCTCACAGAGACAGGGTACTTGTTGGGGGGCTACCACAACCTATGCTGTTGTAATATATTGTTGTCTAACACCCAAAGGGTGGTCGTCCTGAAACTGTGACTACCTTCATCTTAGATGATTGTATTGCTTGGTGGTAACTCTCACTCGTCATGACTCTACCCGAGTCCCGCCCCAAATCATCACCACACTAGCTTCAGGGATCATCACCACACTAGCTTCATCGACGCAGATCCTTCGACCTCCACTTTGGTCTTGACAGATAGCCCATGAATGGAGGAATTACCTTGTGTGTTGTTCGCCAATGAGATCATGATGATACCAAGGGGAGAAAGAGCCTACATCAAATCTACATGTCTCTATACTAGTCATATCCCACTTGTACGTAGCAAAGCACAGACCATCAAACAGAGCTCCGAGGACAGTAAGCCCCAGGAGAACAGTCACGGAAGGGGAAGGATATCATCGCTGGTTCGGCCGTCGCGGTCGTTTGAGCCTCCAGGATCTCCGAGCGCAGACTCGAATGTTTCTCCCTTCCTTTCATCGCTTCATATTCGCTGCCCGCTCATCACTGTACGCTCACCTTGTTGTCTTCTTCTCAACATCAATCACTCACCCTCCATAAAGTTCAAGATGAATGCTTTGCCATTCAGTGCCAACAGCCGTGAGCAGATATTCCAATTTCTGAGAACCGCTTGTATTGAAGGCTTACCCCCTGGCTTTCTCTCACAGTCACCTTCAACATGGTCATTGGGTCAATCCGCCTTCTATGAGGAATTGTCAATTCTTTGGAAGGGTCGCCCAGAAGAGCGACTTATCAATGATGCAAGCAGAATCGTCAACTGGTCATACAGAGAAGTGAAAGCTCATTTTGAGGCACAACACACTACCATACCCGAAGGTCAGTACCCAAGATACAGTATGAGGGACCAAAATATATATTATGAGGACATGTTGAGTGGGACAGAATTGAAGACGAAGCATTCAATAGAGGGTTCAGCAAGTGCTGAGGTCTTTCAGCAATCACTCAGTGCTAGGATATTCTCAATTGAAAGGCGCAATACCTCGGCAGAGCCCAAGATAGAAGCCAAGTTGACAATGTCCCATTGTACAGCTGTGTTGAAGACAAAAAAGAACCGGTGGTTGGAAGTTCAGACCACTGACGGCTTCACATATACTGGTCTTCAGTCATCAGCCGTTAAGGCGGAGATGTTTAGGATTAATGACCTAGCTTATCTCACACATGTATATCATTATCCCACAGAGTCTTACCTGGTCAAGATGGTGCAAGGGCAGACCTGTTGGTGGTGGAGGATCTTGCCTGATGGTGAAGAACAATGGGGTGAAGGAGGGTCACAACAGGTTAAGGAGACTATCCCTTCAGAAGGTCAAGTTCCTGCTGTCATTGCCGAAGGCTGTCAAATCATTGCGCTTAACCCACTTGAGACTGATGAAGCAGGCAAAGATCTTAATGAGGAATTTGAGCCCCTTATTACCAATGGATAGTCATGAGCGTAAATTAGATATAGATCTATTGAGCCTCACAGGTAGAAATGGTATGATCAAGGAATGCATTTGCTGAGAATTGAAAGAGGGCTGTCTGGTCATGGACATAAGACCATGCCAGCTCTGAATGTCATCATCTTTACCCGTGACACTTCAAAGAGTTATGATTTAATGACTGAGGCCATGGGGAAATCTCCTCTTCATTCATCCCCATCAACTCATTGGACACTAGGTTCTGCACAGGACATGGTGAATGCAATTGCAAACCCCTCATTCACATATCGTAAAGGAAAGCATGAATGGACAGCACCATAACCCCATGAGGTCCCAATTCAGGTGAGCTCTACATTGGCAGCTATATCAAGATTCAGCCCATTCTATGGGTCATGTTACGAACTGGTAAGACAGCTTGTAACACCAAGTCCCATGATCTCTGAACAATGCACCTGAAGCCCTTCAACCCAATCACGCCTCATAGCTCCTACAAACTACGAGTAACTCCGTCACCAACCGACAACCACTGGTATCATTCGATAACCTTTGCTCACCAGTGATATCCTTAGACAAGCACTGACAACCTATGACCGTCTCTCAACGCATAGCAAAGTGCTGCTGTCATGCCTGCCGGTAGACTGCCGTAGTAAAGTACTGCCTTAGATACTGAGGAGACTGAGATGTTGGGTTAGAACCAACTGGGTGACTTATCAAACAAGGTTAAGAGAATTGAAAAGATACATTGCTGAAGAAAAGAAACTATGTAAGAAGCATATGGGGTTTATATCTAATTCTAAGTCCATTCTGGGATGTGCGTCGTCCTGCGTAGGAAAGAGTCATGATTCTTGATATCATGTGTATATTCAACCAGGAATCAGAAAGCTGTGTGGTCTTTGCAACGTGATGTGTACAATACGCTGTTGACCGCACACAGAAGCACGCATGACGACATAAACCATATGTTTGCCTTAAATCTAACTAAACTGAAGTCTTGGGTCTGATGCCATACCAGGCAGACTAACAGAGGATAACTTAACTAACTGAAGGTTCAGGTCTCTTGCCTTGGAGGCATAAGAGCAGAAGTAAACATGAAGATACTGGTACTTAGACTTTCTGCCTTGCGTGTACAAGAGCAGAGCTGATGATTCATGACAGCTGCGGTGAAACACATGCACTTGCACCACAATGCATGCAGACCTCCAACCAGACTCGATGGATCTCAGAGCATAGAAATGCAGTGCATAGGGAAGAGCCAAATGTATTGTAGCAGAGCAATGATAAGCATAGGAAGGCGCAAGAAATCTGGTGGCCTGCGGAGCAGCCCTCCTGGGAGCCTCTGTAGACTATTTAAACTCTACATCTTCTTTCCATAGTTTCTTCTCTACAGAGATCAATCATCATACTTTTCCACCCTTTACTGACTAAGTCTTCAATACTGACTTTGACCTCAACTTGTCCTTCGACATTGGCCCCAAGCCTTAATCTGTTCAACACCTTGGGCCCAATATCGTCCTTGGACACCCTCTTGTCATCATCATTGACTCTCTTATTGTCAGTAAGTAATCTCGTCCAGTGTATCAAAGCTCCACTCTCTCTCTCTCTCTTTATCCCATTACATCACTTTATCATCAACTCTTCTCTCTTCATCACTTGTCCACCTGCTGTCTCTCGCTTAAGACAACCAGGCATAACAAGTCAACTGGGAGGAGATGTCAGAGGTTTCTTTGGTTGTATGATGTCACAAACTACGTTGTGACACCTCAATGATTCTACCAGCAATGACCCTCCTTTGACCATCAAAACCCCTATCACGTCTTAACGTCTTCACCCTACACATAACTTAGGACATCTGAGACCAACTACGGCAAAGTACAACGGGAGAATCAGGTATATGGGGGTCTGGAGCATAAGGATGGCAAAGTGCGGAGAAGTTAGGCGGAGTTAGGCGGACTAGGGACAAAGGAAGCAGAAGTACGGAGAAGTTAGACGGTGTTAGGCCAAGTAGGGACAATGGGAGCAGAAGTACTGCAAAGTTAGTCGGAGTTAGGCTGAGTCGGGACAATGGAAGCAGAAGTGCGGCGATGTTAGGCGGAGTTAGTCGAAGGGAGGAGAAGGACGGTTGGGGACTCGGGGAAGTTGGGTGAAGTGCCTTGAAGTACGTCTAAGTGCAAGAGGGTTGGGTGAACATCTAGGAGGAGTAGATAATATTAACTGAGAATATTGCTGAAGTTCTTCAGTGATTGTCACGGCCGTCGAGCAACTTCTTCCTAATAGACCGACGGTCGACGAACCTCGGCTAACTTCACGCTTCTGAGTCGATGTCTCACCCAACCAGGAGGGCGCAGACGTCGAAAGGAGTGTAACTACGGCGTACTTCGGCGTAGTTACTCTAACTAAGGCTTTGTTCTATTGATGGCGATGTATCCCGATGTATAGCTATCTCTATTTGTCTTTTACTACTGACAACAATCAAGGATCGCTGAAGAACTTCAGCGATCTTCTCAGCTAATATGACCTATCCCTCCTAGACGTTCATCCAACCCTCCCGCGCTTTGACGTACTTCAACGCACTTCGTCCAACTTCCCCGAACCCCGGCCATCCTCCTCCTCCTTCGACTAACTCCGCCTAATATCGCCGCACTTCTGCTCCCATTGTCCCTACCTAGCCTAACTCCGCCTAACTTCGCCGCACTTCTGCTCCCATTGTCCCTATTTACCCTAACTTCATCTAACTTCGCCGTCCTTGGTCTCAGAGGTCCTGAGTTACGTGTAGAGTAAAGAGGTTTGAGTCGTGATGGGGTTTTGATGGTCAAAGGAGGGTCGTTGTTGGTGGAATAATCGAGGTGTCACGACGTAGTTCGTGACAGTGATCCTTGATTGTTGTCAGTAGTGAAAGATTGATAGAGATAGCCACATACAATTGAGATACATTGCCATCAGAGAAACACCCCAGGTAGAGTAACTACCTCAAAGTACGCCGTAGTTACACCCCTTTCAACGCCTGCACCCTTTTGTTTGGGTGAGACATCGGAGCCGTAGTGTCAAGTTAGCTGAGGTTTGTCGACCATCGGTCTGTTAGAGAGAAGTTATTCAACATCCGTGACATATGAATAGTAAAGGGGACAACACTGGTCAATCACAGTAGGATATCTAGAGCTGCAGACAGGTTACAATTGTCACAATGTCATGAATGACACTAATGAATCATGACTTGTCATAATCAAAGTTCAAACCTACAATCTCATATCTTCCTCTGCTCTCAAGCCTATCAGGCATGCACTCCAAGTGTATCTTTCCTGTGCTCACATGCCTAACAGGCATAAGCTCCAAGTACTTCTCTACTTTCTTGTCATGGCCGTCAAATAACTTCTCTCTAACAGACCAACGGTCAACAAACCTCGGCTAACTTGAAACATCGGCTTTGATATCTCACCCAAACAGAAGGGTGCTGTCACATATGTTGTTTCTTCTCCTCTACTGACCGACGGTCGACAAACCTCGGCTAACTATGTTGCACTGGGGTGTCAATGTCTCACAGAGACAGGGTACTTGTCGGAGGACTACGGCTAACTATGCCGTAGTAATACGTTGAGTGGCAAACAATATGATGATTGTTGATGAACTGCGGTGTAGCATCCTCGGACCACCCTCCTTGTGTTGTCCAGAGGGACCCGTCCACCGTTGGGTCAGGAGGTCCGGGCTACCGGGTACCAACACCTCCCCAGGCGGGGGTGGATGTTGGAATGGTAGTGTTGTCTAGGGTCAGGTGGGTTTGGGATAGGCTTCGGGTGATAATGATATCTATCAAGGTATCAAAGTATCAAGCTATGTGATGATACTGAAAAGTACTGTAGAAGTATAAGTATAAGATATGATTGAATCCCCAATGTGATTCTCCGGTGTGCCACTCTCAGAGGGTCTCCTGGTCAAGTGTCCTAATCACCCCCGACTATCACCCTTTTACCTTCCAGCACTACAGCAACTAACTTTGCTGAGGTGCATCAAACTATTGGGTGGTAGCTCTCCCTAACTCAATGGTGGTAGCTACTGATTATGTCTCTCGCCACTGACGACAATCAAGGATTGCTGAAGAAGTGCAGCAATCTGTAACTATCTATACCCCTCTGCTCTCCTCATAGAATATCCCACAACTCCTGCACTGCCTCACGCTCAGTGTTACAACCCTGTCGTAACCCATATGATAGAAGAAGAAGTTGTATACGTCAGAATATCCAAATGGTGTGATACAATTGGTAAAGGACAAATGGGAGATAAAAATGGGATAAGCAGATGGTATAGTCAAATGGTATAAGCAGATGGTATAGGCAAATGATATAGCTGTCACGAGTCCAACTAACCAGCATTGGGACGATATAACAGTGCCCTTCGGAACGGTGATCTAAACCACTGCGACAAAAAGGCCTATCAACCGGCAATATCTACAATCGCCGGTTGCTGGTTAAATACCCAATCCATCCTAAACCGTGACCAAACCGTGACTAAACTTAACTGGGTAACAACATAACCTTCCTCATGTCACAACAACTCGTGACAACAGCCAGATGGTATACGCAAATGGGATATCCAAATGGTATACACAGATGGTAGACGTAGGATGGAAGAGGACAAACTGGATATACCATCTGTTCGAGCAGAATGTCTATATAAACCCCCTTGTAGGATCCTCTTTCTCAAGGATGAATATATTTTCTTGCCACACCTCAAAGATCTCGACTTAACCTTGCAACTTGACTTCAACCTCGACATACCTTCCCTTGCTATCGACACCCCTCTCCTCATCATCTGGACTTGCCAGATCCTTCCAAGTCACTCAGCTGTCCGACCAGCTTCACAAGTCTACGAGCTTCACTTCGTTTGTCGTAGCTCAAGCTTGTAAACTACTTCAGTCCACCTGTCTCTTGTGTCTTAGAGATCTGCTAGGGACAGGTCGTGACACTCAGTCCTCTATTGTTCAACTTTGCCACACCTCGCTGTATCCCTGATGT